CATTACATTCATTTATTTTCTTACACAAAATCTGAAATCCTGGATTAGATGTAAATACTGAATACTGGCAACAAATAGTTGTACCAGACCCAATCCTGGAAAGCCCCCTCCCCCCAAAGAAGTATTATACACAACTAAGGTAAGGATCAAGGCAAATCTACATATAATTAAGCAGCAATACAAGAATTATCAAAGGTGTTTTATTTGAACAGCCTACAATCTGATAAACAAATTTAACTTACTCTATTTCTGGTAATCCTCTTCATCTGACGTCTGTTAAAAAAAAGTTATAATGAAGGTTAAGATAGAAATCATTGAAATGTGCAAATTTTCATTACTTAATGTTAAAGTATCACAACATTTATAACTAGAAAAATCACTTTTTATAACTGAACAAATACTAAAAAGCTTTCCACAGCTATATAAGATTGGAAAAAATTGCATTCACTTACTTTGGAGCTCTTATAGCACACTGGATGGCATCAGATGTTAAAAGTTTTCCAATGTCTGTATTAACCATTTTCTGATCAGGTATTCTGGGGAAAAATAAAAAACAAAACATAGAAAACTATCTCTTCATCAATGATTCAATCAAAATATGACAATCAATAAACTTACTACATTGCAAATCTTAAGTGATGGCATAAACATTGATATATGTTTGAAATCTATTTAGCAATTATTAAATACTCTGGAAACCAAGGTTAAATAAAGGAAAGTACTAGCTATAAACCAATACTTAAACTGAAGGCACCAGATGGAAAATGTATTGTAAAGATACTTACTTTACTTTGTATAAATCATCCAATTGTCTGAATGCACTCTCTGTCCAAATACAGAAACGTCCAACATGGCCACCAGGTGCAATTTTAAGAAGATTCAGACGTGAAACATTTATGAGGGTTATTCCTGGAAGAGATGAAATCTATTGTAATACAGCATGTCAGGCTTCAGAGGATCAGTCCAATACTGAAATAGGTACAGTAACTGCCACAAGGAATTTTTTGAATGGATAGAAATTACAGATAAAATATTCAAAATTTATAAAGCGTAAATTCTCATTTTTGAGAAGCTTCAGACATGCCCTGTCAGCTATCATTGAGTGATCTCAAAAACACGGACCAAAGGCAACTCATCATTTGCTTATCCTTTGGCAGTTGAAACTATGAAGATATATTAATTTTCGATCTTAAAGTTTCAAACTCAATATCCTAAATTGCAAACACAAGGAAATTCCACATTAAAATTTGAAGCAATGCATATATTAATTTTCAGAAATAAACAATTTTTTTTACAGAATGAGATATTTAAAATAACAGATACTACATTTAATGTGTCCAGAGTATATTGACAAAACGAAGAGCTTCAGATCAAAAACACGGACCAAAAGGCAACTATAGGATCTTAAAGTGTGGCAAGTAATATGAAAGGGTCAAAAGAAAATAGCTAGTTAAAACAAACTCAATATCCTAAATTGCAAACATGCTAAGGAAATGTCCACATTCAAAATCCTCAGACATGCACAGCAATGCATCACTGATTGATCTAAACAACACTCATCAGAAATAAACAATTTTTTTTACAGAATGAGATATTTAAAATAACAGATACTACATTTAATGTGTCCAGATTATATTGACGAAACAAAGAGCTTCAGATATGCCCTGTCAGCTATCATTGAGCGATCTCAAAAACACGGACCAAAAGGCAACTCATCATTTGCTTACCCTTTTGTAGCTGAAACTATATTTTCATTTCAAACTTACAGAAACTTTCGGTAAAACTTAAAGAAATATTGATTTTTTGAGGAGACCCAAAAGGGAGGGACCTTAAAGTGTGGCAAGTAAAATAAAAAGATCACAAGAAAATGGCTACTTCACCCAAACTCAAAATCCTAAAATGTGAACATGCTGAGGAAATGTCCAGCTTTTTGAATTCCTCATACATGTTCAACAATGAATCACTGATTGATCTCAAAAACACGCTTGTCAGAAATTAGTGATTTTTTTTTAAAGAATTAGATAAATAAAATAACATATTACATTTAATGTGTCAAGACTACATTTACAAAATAGCCCTTCAGACATGCCCTGTCAGCTATCATTGAGTGATCTCAAAAACACGGACCAAAGGCAACTCATCATTTGGCAGTTATAAACACATATATGTACCTGGGTTTATGCAGAAAAAAAAGCTAACACAATAGGTATGCCAAAACATGAAAAACACTTATTTTTGTTTTGAATTCTTTAAGCTCGGAGTACTTTCAAAACACGAGCAAGTCAAAATACAGAACTGGTTTCCAGATGAAATTTCATGCTACATAACACAAATAAGACAAATTTTACAAACCTGGAATATTTCTAAATGCTTTGGATATGCCATTATCATCTCTGTAAATAACCAGTGGACCTCTGCGCATAATACGACGTCTGTTCCTCATCTTACCCTTTCCTGCTCTGAAGCGTTTGGAATTGTAAACCTAAAAAATGATTGAATAAATATTATATATTAACCTAAAAAACACATGTAAAATCAAACTAGTTGTTGTCAATTTATATTTTTACAATTCAAAAAGATCCCAGACAGATCTTGACACCCATCATTACTAGATCTTTATTTTTTCTTTGATATTTCCCATTATTTTCTCTTCTTTCCTGTGTTTTTGCCCTTAATTATTTGAAATTTGAAAAAAAAGTAATAATGACAATCTGAACAGTCAAATCCAGAACAGTTGCCTGTTGAGAATTTCATTATTCTATCAGTTCAAAACATAAAGGGCACAACCAGGGACCAAAGAGAACCTATAAAATCAAGAATGGTCCATCCAGTGCTTCTAGAAATAATAACATAGTTCAGGGACAGATGTAGAACTGATGGATGACTATTCAATTAGTCATCTGATTACTGTTAGCTAAAAATATATTGAATGTGTAAATCACTTACTACCGATGAAGGGAAGGTGTGAACGACACACTTACTATAGTATTGAACAAAGTATTGATACTATTGTATTGAAGTATTCAAATAATCGAGTCAAGTATACAACGACCTCTGTGATTGGTCGGGGGCGGAGTTTAGACAACCTGAATAGTTGATCTGACACCCAATTTGTTCCGGTAGGCGGAGTTAATGTACACTATCAGTTACATAACAATTACTAAGTAATCGCTGGAAAAATGTCCGACGACGGCAACAGTACGCAAAATTTTCTTCGACGAAATTATGTCCGATACGAACGATATGGGGAATCCTGTTTTTGTACAAGGCGATGTGGTTGTGATGGATAATTGTGGATTCCATCACCATAGACAGGGAGAGCGCATTTTAAGAAATATGCTGAAAGAATATGGCGTGTCCCTGGTTTTTCAGCCGCCTTATTCCCCGGAATACAACGTAACTGAATATGTATTCAATGTCATCGGGCAAATACCCGACTTGTGTCAGAATTTCTGGAACTTGCAGTAGTAAATGCTCTAGATATTCCGCCCAACCAACTTCAAAGATTTTCACATGTTGCGGATATGTATAATTTTCGATGGAAAGATAAAAAATAAAATAAAAAATATATGGGACCACAGAATTCCTTTATTTTTTAATGCAGTATGAATTATCGGCATATATCAGGAGGTCCCAGGTAATTCGTAATTCTTTGTTACATATAATAGCTTGGGCTTAAACCGACATATTTTGAGCCAACCCTCCCCCCCCCCTTTCAAAAAAAAAAAATAAATAAATAAAACTAGTACAGAATGACTATATGACTATATTCACTGTTAAGATGTTATGAATTCTCCGGTCCCAGTGATCTAACCTGTTGATATATATTTTGTACGTAAATTAGTTTAGTACTGAGTAACTTTCGTTTTCTCGTTGTACCATCGATGGAAAAGCAAGGTATCATTGGGTGTAGAACGAAACAAATGGGACAACCCAATTAGGTCTGATCTGAAGCCACCTGTGACTTGGACTCTTCCAATTAACCTCTCGCGACAGTCGAGTGTTTGTAAAATGCCGATGTCTTCACAGTATTTTTTCACCTGGCTCCACCCACAATCGATCTAGACTTGGCTCTGCCAATCAGAGAGCTTGTTGCATAAATTTAAGGAATTCGATTGGTGAAGTACTTCAGTACAATACTATCAATACTTCGTTCAGTACTACAGTACTTGAAACGTTCACACCTTCCCTTCATCGGTAGTAACAGGAGTGGTAGGGAGCAAAACAATATAGGCCTAATCATGCATATTTCAGGTGTGCCATGCCAATATCAGAATGTATTCTTCAATCAAGTCATATGTGATATTGAAATATAATGAAATGACTAATCCAAATTCTGCTTGAGAAGGAAGTGCTTCATCTTATTGCAAAACCTATAAAGCCACAGATTTTCTTCAAAAGATCTCTAAGTATTACTGATGTGCCAGAAAAATAATATAGCAAAACTACATGCTTCAATCCCTGGACAAGATTAAAATGCTAAAATAATATTTTGAAAGTTGTAGGTTGAAGTCAATACAGGACAGAACAATGAAGTACAATATCACTATTTTCTGACAGACTTAAGCAAAATCAACACTCAATTATTTCTTTATCACTGACATTTTTCATTATCTCATTGCGTTTCCATTTGTTGGTTATTAGTTATTTATTTATTATACACTCACATCTAAAGTATTGTATCTGAAGCTATCAAACAGTGTATATATTGTGCTTGTATTGCATCTGGGGCCAGTGTACCATTCCAGCACCAATTCCTTATTGTTTGTTATCCTTTAATATTGCTTGCTCACCTTTTGGATGTCACTCCATGCTTTTAGAGTCTTCAGCAGACTGACGGCCTCCTTTGTCTTTTTAAACTCCTGGACCTTGTCACTGACCACCAATGGTACTTCCTGTGTTTCCTCGATCCTGTGGCCTGTTTAATACCAACATATTACACAAAGGAATTACTTTTCATATGTGATCCTAGAGGATACCCTTACCCAAAACATTAAATTTGTGTCAGTATGCCCTGTAAAATATCATAGTGTTCTCAAAAACACGGACCAAAGGCAGATCATCACTCACAAAAAACAAATTATGATTCAGAAAGGTTTGAATTAACAGATTATATCACACCAATAAACTCACACTTGATATCATTAACTTACAATTGGTAAAATGAAAAGATAAGAAAATTGATTACAAAAATAATACTTCGCTTAATTCAATTTTTCAATTGTTTCCAGTATTGAAATAACAGGCTATGAAAATTCCTCAAGGAACAAATTGATATCCTGAAGAGTCTGTTGTGCTTATGTACCTTTGGACATCACTAAGGCTGGGATTCCTGTAGCAGCAATAGCTGAACACAGTGCATACCGCCTCTGGTTGATATTAATCCTACGGTGCCACCTACGCCAGGTCTTTGTTGGAGCGAACATGCGTCCTCCTCGACACATGTTACCAAATGCTCCCTGTCCAGACCTGTGGGTACCACCTCCACGAACACGGGGAATTCGAGCTACGGCACGGCCAGTTCCCCAGGACTCGGCAGATGTTTGGTGACCTAAAAATTTAATGATTCATTTAAATTTCAGAAAATCTTTTCCTATTTAATTTTTGCTCATATCAGTTATAATTAGGTAGATTTAATGTCTACAAGATTTAAAACTCATACACTACAAGAAAATGCATGAGGAGTTATGACTTGCATTTTCATCTGGCAACTTAATAAACTATGACAACTAAAAGAGAATTGTCATAACAGAAATTTTGTGCCACATCTTCATTGTGAAGATCCAGATGGACCACATGTAAATGATTTTCCATATATATGTAGCCATATTTTTTTATACAAATTTTTCTTAATTCATCAGATATCTAAGTCAAAGATTATTTTACTACATGTCAGAATTTTTTTTCTTCAATTGCTTTCCAAATATTGTAAATCTTTCAACTTTCCACCATTTGCTCGTTTAAATTTCAGTTCATGCTGCACAAGAATTTTGAGAAATTAACATTGTTATATAACTCTGTTGTCCAAAGTTTTTATTGTCTTGCAGACTCCACATATAAACATCTGTTTTCATCTGGAGAGGTTTCTTACAATCATTAGAGGTGTTAACATAAGGAGGAGAATGACACAGCAACCATCTAATCTGGTCCAAACAAATAGAAAATTCTGTTTTTGTTCCCATCCCCTTCCTCCCCCAACGGTTATTACACAACAAACCTTCAACTGATATCTAGTCACACTTTCAATGTCAATGGTCATCAATACATCTACTATATACAGGACAGAAGGATGTAACAAATCTGACTAACACATTGAAAAACAAGTGACTGAAAGTATCAGCAAGACAGCAATTACTTGTAACTTAATCCCCACAAAGACTGACTTAAAGGGACATCACTGTAAAAACATTAATTTTGGTAACAAATGTTCATGTTTTATACATTTCAAGTTAGGTTTCTATGCTATCCCAACATTCAAGGTTGATTTCCAATGTCCAGTTTGACCACTTTTTTGATTTGGAAACCCCTCTCAATGAAGCACAAGAAGTTCGTTTTGGAAACACGAACACATAATGGCTGGCAAAAGTGACAGCGACAGTAGTGACAATGTTGATGTACTTGATATATCCCAAAATAAAATAGGAGTAAAATAAAAAGTTGCTTTAATGTGATGTTGCTTTAATATCATAATCCAATGAAAATAGAAGAGATCTGTGTCTACAAGATTTAAAACCCATGCACTACATATATCAATGCATGAGGAGTTATGACTTGTATTGTAATCTGGCAACTTCATCGAAGCATGGCAACTATCAATAGAGAAGCCACAACAGACCTGAGCTGCCCCGTCTAGTAAACTCTCACTTTCATGATAAATGTCAAGATTACTATATTGTTAGTTTAAATGCAGGTATTTTTAAAAGTAAAAGACAAACTATGAAGTAATATTTCAGATTTACTATCATCATTATAATATTAGAGGTACTGATAAATCTTGTCCTCTGATGGATATATCAATTAAAGAACTCTGATCAATTCTTTCCAATAAAATACCATTTTTTAAAATCTTTTTTTTCTTTTTATTGAAGCACAAATCATGACTCAGAAAAAAAGATATTTAAAAGCAGGTAAATAACTGTTTCAAAACTCAGTTAAATTTTTTTTGTTACATTGTAAGATACTAAAACAATAAAAGTTATTTGAAGATGATATCCAACGAAGAAAATGTAATTTTTTCTATAAAGTAAACTATCATACATGCCACATAGAATTACAATTCACCTCCTTTGGCCCTAATTTTCTAATATTAAATACTTGCCAGCATATTTGCTAACAGCGTATGGCTGCCTGGAGTTCTTCTTCATCTCTGAATGCACAAATGAGACTATGTCTGGTCGAATAGGGGCCCTGAAAACAGCTGGCAGGGTGACATTGACGTCAGTGGTCTCACCCTTATTGTCATAGATGCTGATCAACGGTCTTGCAGCCTAAAACAAACAAAATTTAATATCAAGACTCAGACCTATGGATTACACAAAAATTGGTTCCCCTTCTTCCAAGGATGCTTCAGACCACATTTGATTAAAAAGATTTAAGAACAGTTGTAATCTAAAGGAAAAGTTGACAAATGAAGGACGGATAGATGCAGAGGTACCTAGTTTTGATACTAGTAAAATGGAAAAATTTTATCAGTCAATAACATGTGCATGCATGCAGAATTAATCAGTGTCTGATAATTTGACAAACTGATATAATGGATATAGAGTGCAAAAGAAATGTATTAATTTGTTGGTAAATCCCCCCTTCATTTCTACAGGCTTTTCCTCAGAAGACCGACCTCAGGAAATCTGAAACATGCCATATCCCTAAAACCCATACCTTGACCACAGGGATTGGTGAAAGAAAATACATGTGCGACCCATATCCATTATTTTATCATTTGTAACATGCAACTCTTGCGAGCAAATGGAGACCAACGAGTGGCAGCTGTTAGTCTGTAACCTATTGAAATGAACCTTACGTTATATATTTATGTCTTTCTAACTAGCAATGCTTTCATGTATTCTTACTACTTTAGCAGCACTACAATAAATATTTCATATAAGAGCTGCAAAATGTCCGATAACACTTCCCCCACGTGTTCCACGCACTACTGAATGTCTACCGGTAAGTGTTTTCATGGCTTTAATCTAAAATACCCGTTATTTCTGAGTAACATGTCTCGAAATAAATTGAGGAGCTATTAAGCGTGTAAGTTTTCGGTATTCTATATCCAATATTGTATCTATTTTGATATATTTATTACCATTTTCGCTGTGCGGGCTGAAACGTGCACTTCTCGTGGCTACTTGGCGGAAAAAGGCCGATTTTCGTGGCGCATTAATATGATATCGTAAAAATTTCATTTAGTGCTAACTTTACCTAATTTAATTTTTCAGAATCAAGAAATAAGAATTTTGGCATAAAAGAATTAGATTAATATTGTTTATATTTCAATCGTGATAGTCATTAAATCTCGTAGTATGGAACTATATTTTAAAGCATAATAATCTATAACGGATGTAGGTTGTTCGAACACTTCCTGTCAGCAGTGCCATCTTCAGTGATTTGAGAGAAAACAAAATATTCTGCGAAGTTTGAAATGCTTCATGAGATATTATTTGCTCTTTCAGGACATTCTGGTGGTCTTTTTGTAGATAACAATGAAGAAATCAAGGTGATTAATTCATTAATTTATCTTATAAGTTGTCAATGCCTAGTTATAGTATGTCTTTCTGACATATTCATCAAGTTTGATCACTTGTTTTTCAACTGCCTCTTTGACACTTCTCGATTAATACAGGTGCTGTCAGATGTACCATTCATTTGTCCATCCGAAATCGATTTGTTGAACAAGCTGTGTCAGCTGGGGACTAACTACAGAGACTTCAACGCATTTATAAAAGAGAACGGAGGAACTTTAAGTTTGAAACAAGATGGTAATTTTATGCAAAATGAAATGTAAATATGTCACAACTCACTCAGTTTTATCAAAACTGTTGTATCCCTGGTATAATGCTTTTCACAATATACGGCTCTACTAGAGAAAACTTATATTTAGCTTGATTGACTGACCATCAGACTTGTAAGCCAGGAGTCTCAGGTTCTAATTGTAGCAGAGCCATTGAATCAGATTGTGACCTTTTTTACATTGGCGTCAATGTAGGGAGTTGAGATTAATACTTAGCCATGCCCTAAAAACATCGTTGTAACCTGAGGAAACTCAATAACATGTTACTTCCAGGAGGGAGAGTATGTATCTGTGGTAAACTTCTAGCACCGATGTTTCGCTTGCTAGAGAGACATTCTCTTTTTCTTGACTAGTAAGCCTGAGATCCCAAGGTTCAAATTGTTCAAGTTGATAAAATGTTTAGGTGTCGTCAGTGTAAAGAGCAGTGTTTGTAGTGATGCAATGGCATTCATTTAACACATATTTACGCTGTTAGAAAAGAATTAATGAAACTAACAGAAGGTGGGTCAATTCCTTGAGACTAGGTATTTTCATTAGGTACTTTGTAGTGTCTTAAAGCCAAGAGGTTTCATAATAAATGCATTGAATTTAGGTTTTTCCTGCAGTGCTGAATCATTTATTCATACTTTAAAATGCTACTTTGTTTTCAGGATCTGGTAAAATTGAGGGTATTCATGGACTGTACCTGAAATCATTTTGTCATGGCCTTGACCAGTTGTTGGATGACTACCGTCAAGCCCTTCACAGATTAGAGATGGACGCACTACAGGACCCACATCTACCAATCTCACATCTGCTGTGCTCTCTCCAGGAGGTGAGTCTTTTAGTTAGGACTACTCATTGAAGATGTATATGCCCTCTCACAATCAGGCTGTCTGTCTTCCTCTGTCTGTTGTTTTGTTTTCAACATTTCAGTATTGAAAACATTTTGTTACAAACGTTATAAAGCAAGACTGACCAGAATCAAATGAGAATGTTCCTGATCAAAATTCAAGTACAATGAGTTCTGATTAAAGCCAAAAGTCATATTTTCTGTCTCTTTCACAAGTAAATACAGATTTACAGAATGAAACAAAGATGTGAAGTGGGGAATCACTTATAGGATTGGGGTTAAATGTCAAATACTAGATGTTTTTACCGCTAAAAAATTGTTATGACATTATAAACCAGAATGATCAGTATAATAATCAGATTTCTATGTAAATATTCTACATTGTATTACTTAACAGGTAAATAATTTAGTCTCAGTAATAAAAAAAATAAAGATTGATTTAAATAAATCAAAGAGAATTAGAATTCAATGAAGAGTCTCAATGCAGCAAGAGGAAATATGTTACAAAGTGCAGTCTGTTTCACAACACTATCAATGAATTTCTTTTTTCTACAAAATTAATGCAGTTGAACATGCATCGAAATTGTATCATGTATCAAATATAATGTGTATTCAGCATATAAAATCAATAATTCTTTATCAAGGTTAACTCTGTAAAGCTTAGGATTAGAGACAGAAACATTGCATGGCCCTTTCTATCAGAACTCTAGTTACCTTTAATTTATCTAGTGCCATGATTTTTAGTTACAAAGCAAATACTTCTGTGGTAATTATGGTAAGATCTGACATGTTATAAAGAAAATTACATGTATATATATCTGTACATCTATAATAAATACAAGTAAATTGTATTGAGTATGCTCAAACATATATATGTTTAATTTTGATGAATTGTCTTTTGATTTATATGTTTAAGAACAAAATACTCCATTTTTGAGGAAATACTCATTTCAATGTTGACAAAATGTTGTTTGTATTCTATGCTTTCACATCATCATGTTCTTTAAAATGATTGACATTGACTTATCTGTTTTTAGTACAATCTTCTTTTCCCTGCTCTCGCTGCAGTTGTGGAACAGATATGCAATCACAAGGTAATATAGAATGAAAAGATGTTCCTTAACTATAATCAGGTGGAATGATAAAATGAAAGCTATGATTTAAGTCTTTGTTTAATGGATAAATATGATAATGCAGTGAAATATGTCTGCTTGGTATTTCAGGCCCATGGATGTTATATCCTGGATATTCTACATAAGAATTCAATGTGTGGCCTTCCTGTTGTCAAACTTGCCATGCATAGGTAAAATGAACTGCTATTCTGTAGTATAATATGAGATGTCAGTGTTTCATAGATAAATGTGAAGAGGTCATCTGTAAACTTTTTTTGTAAGCTCTTTGATGAATTGAAACACACATACATTGATAAAAATTTTGCAATGATTTCTGCAGTTGCTGCATGGTAACATGACAATTTAGACTTACAATGATGTGATATTGGAACTGTACAAATATTTGTTTATAAAGTAACCCAAACAATATCACCCCCCCCCCCCCCCACCTCCCCTATGTACATTGGTTTACATAAAAGGTTTATGATTTACTTTTTAGAATCCTACATGTTTGTCATGCTGTCATGTACAAACAATTGTGTTCTTGGCTCCTACATGGTGTACTGTTTGACCCTTACCAAGAATTCTTCATACAGCACTCATCAGATGAGGATATTAACCAAAATGCATCTTCGAAGGAGGATGAAGATGATCTGGGTCTTCTGGGGGTCACAGGTAGACAGTTACAGGTAACTACCGGGTAAGGTTGTTTCTTGGGGTCACAGGTAGATAATTAGTGGTAACTAAGGGTATTTCTAGGAGTCATAGGGTCACATCTTCAGGTAACTAAGAGTGTTTCTGGGAGTCACAGGAAAATTTTTTACAGCCAACAGGTAACTAGGGATGTTTCTGGGAGTCACATGTAGATAGTTATCAGTAAGAAAGTGTGTTTCTAGGTAGATAGTTACATGTAGATAAGGGTGTTTCTGGGAGTCACAGGTAGATCGTTATCGGTAAGAAAGTGTGTTTCTTGGTAGATAGTTACATGTAGATAAGGGTGTTTCTTGGAGTCACAGGTAGATCGTTATCAGTAAGAAAGTGTGTTTCTAGGTAGATAGTTACATGTAGATAAGGGTGTTTCTGGGAGTCACAGGTAGATCGTTATCAGTTAGAAAGTATGTTTCTAGGTAGATAGTTACATGTAGATAAGGGTGTTTCTGGGAGTCACAGGTAGATCGTTATCAGTAAGAAAGTGTGTTTCTTGGTAGAGTCACAGGTAGATCGTTATCAGTAAGAAAGTGTGTTTCTTGGTAGATAGTTACATGTAGATAAGGGTGTTTCTGGGAGTCACAGGTAGATCGTTATCAGTAAGAAAGTGTGTTTCTTGGTAGATAGTTACATGTAGATAAGGGTGTTTCTGGGAGTCACAGGTAGATCGTTATCAGTAAGAAAGTGTGTTTCTTGGTAGATAGTTACATGTAGATAAGGGTGTTTCTGGGAGTAGTTACATGTAGATAAGGGTGTTTCTGGGAGTCACAGGTAGATCGTTATCAGTAAGAAAGTGTGTTTCTTGGTAGATAGTTACATGTAGATAAGGGTGTTTCTGGGAGTCACAGGTAGATCGTTATCAGTAAGAAAGTGTGTTTCTTGGTAGATAGTTACATGTAGATAAGGGTGTTTCTGGGAGTCACAGGTAGATCGTTATCAGTAAGAAAGTGTGTTTCTTGGTAGATAGTTACATGTAGATAAGGGTGTTTCTGGGAGTCACAGGTAGATCGTTATCAGTAAGAAAGTGTGTTTCTTGGTAGATAGTTACATGTAGATAAGGGTGTTTCTGGGAGTCACAGGTAGATCGTTATCAGTTAAGAAAGTGTGTTTCTTAGGTAGATAGTTACATGTAGATAAGGGTGTTTCTGGGAGTCACAGGTAGATCGTTATCAGTAAGAAAGTGTGTTTCTTGGTAGATAGTTACATGTAGATAAGGGTGTTTCTGGGAGTCACAGGTAGATCGTTATCAGTAAGAAAGTGTGTTTCTTGGTAGATAGTTACATGTAGATAAGGGTGTTTCTGGGAGTCACAGGTAGATCGTTATCAGTAAGAAAGTGTGTTTCTAGGTAGATAGTTACATGTAGATAAGGGTGTTTCTGGGAGTCACAGGTAGATCGTTATCAGTTAGAAAGTGATGTTACATGTAGATAAGGGTGGTAGATAGTTACATGTAGATAAGAAAGTGTGTTTAGTTGGGAGATCGTTACAGTGTGGTAGATCGTTATCAGTAGATCGTTAGAAAGTGTGTTTCTTGGTAGATAGTTTCATGTAGATAAGGGTGTTTCTGGGTGTCACAGGTAGATCGTTATCAGTAAGAAAGTGTGTTTCTTGGTAGATAGTTACATGTAGATAAGGGTGTTTCTGGGAGTCACAGGTAGATCGTTATCAGTTAGAAAGTGTGTTTCTTGGTAGATAGTTACATGTAGATAAGGGTGTTTCTGGGAGTCACAGGTAGATCGTTATCAGTTAGAAAGTGTGTTTCTAGGTAGATAGTTACATGTAGATAAGGGTGTTTCTGGGAGTCACAGGTAGATCGTTATCAGTAAGAAAGTGTGTGTGTTTCATGTAGATAAGGGTGTTTCTGGGAGTCACAGGTGGTAGATAGTTACATGTAGATAAGGGTGTTTCTGGGAGTCACAGGTAGATCGTTATCAGTAAGAAAGTGTGTTTCTTGGTAGATAGTTACATGTAGATAAGGGTGTTTCTGGGAGTCACAGGTAGATCGTTATCAGTAAGAAAGTGTGTTTCTTGGTAGATAGTTACATGTAGATAAGGGTGTTTCTGGGAGTCACAGGTAGATCGTTATCAGTTAGAAAGTGTGTTTCTAGGTAGATAGTTACATGTAGATAAGGGTGTTTCTGGGAGTCACAGGTAGATCGTTATCAGTTAGAAAGTATGTTTCTAGGTAGATAGTTACATGTAGATAAGGGTGTTTCTGGGAGTCACAGGTAGATCGTTATCAGTTAGAAAGTATGTTTCTAGGTAGATAGTTACATGTAGATAAGGGTGTTTCTGGGAGTCACAGGTAGATCGTTATCAGTTAGAAAGTGTGTTTCTTGGTAGATAGTTACATGTAGATAAGGGTGTTTCTGGGAGTCACAGGTAGATCGTTATCAGTAAGAAAGTGTGTTTCTTGGTAGATAGTTACATGTAGATAAGGGTGTTTCTGGGAGTCACAGGTAGATCGTTATCAGTAAGAAAGTGTGTTTCTTGGTAGATAGTTACATGTAGATAAGGGTGTTTCTGGGAGTCACAGGTAGATCGTTATCAGTAAGAAAGTGTGTTTCTAGGTAGATAGTTACATGTAGATAAGGGTGTTTCTGGGAGTCACAGGTAGATCGTTATCAGTTAGAAAGTATGTTTCTAGGTAGATAGTTACATGTAGATAAGGGTGTTTCTGGGAGTCACAGGTAGATCGTTATCAGTTAGAAAGTGTGTTTCTTGGTAGATAGTTACATGTAGATAAGGGTGTTTCTGGGAGTCACAGGTAGATCGTTATCAGTTAGAAAGTATGTTTCTAGGTAGATAGTTACATGTAGATAAGGGTGTTTCTGGGAGTCACAGGTAGATCGTTATCAGTAAGAAAGTGTGTTTCTTGGTAGATAGTTACATGTAGATAAGGGTGTTTCTGGGAGTCACAGGTAGATCGTTATCAGTTAGAAAGTATGTTTCTAGGTAGATAGTTACATGTAGATAAGGGTGTTTCTGGGAGTCACAGGTACACAGCTACATGTAACTAAAGATGTTTATATAAGTCACTATTGGACAGTGGTAAATAAGGGCTCTCTTTATCACTAGCTAATATTTATAGATAAAGAAGTGAGTGTGTGTGTGTGAAGTGGGAGTGGGGCGTGTTGTTTCAGATGATGTGAGGTGATCTCATTATCACTAGCTAATATTTATAGATAAAGAATGGGTTGTTAGTAGTGGAGATCAGTAGTGGTGTTACCTTTGATTAACATATCTTTTCTGTTTGTCTTGCAGCGTGCACTGTCTTTGACCTTACCTGCAGTAGAGAGCAGTAGTGGGGGTAGTAAGTTCTGTCTGAGAGCCAATCTTCTACCAGTCTACATCCCTGTCCGTGTCGCCAACAAGATTCTCTTCACTGGCGAGGCTATCCAGATGTTTGAGAGTGACAAAAAACCCAATGCTTTCAAACGAGGTAATTTGTTCTCTTTATAATTATTATTGTCCTTGAAATTAAATTATATAGTTTTCAGCAAGTTTATCTGGTAAAAATTTGATTTGTAAGCATGCATGACTCTCAGTCAATCCAGAATAATGCTATAGATATCCAGTTTATTTTGATAATTTCTAGGAGGTATACTGAAGAACAAGGAAGATGAGTTTGCCAAGGATCTGTATGAAATGTCTAAGCAAGAGGAATTCAATGGGATGATGTTTGAGTCCATGGTGGATAAAATCAGGACCTATGTGGCCGAGGTAAGATCAGAAGTAGTGGACTAAAGCTCAGGAATAGGTCACAGCAAGCAAGCACGGTGGTTTTTGTTTGTTTGTATTGAAGTTATTTGAATTTTTTTTTATATATATAAAAGTCCATTTTTAATCATGTAAGGTATAGAAGTAGTAAAAGGTCAATGATTTTAGTACTCCTGTTAGTACTAAGTAAGCTTATATTACATCCTCAAATTTGTCTTTTAGCATTTGTGGAGTTTGGTTGTTCAAGACTCTGATCTTCTCAGTCACATGAAGATCATAAAGGATTTTTATTTGCTGGGACGTGGGGAGCTTTTCCTTACATTCATTGATCAAACCCAGACCATGCTTCGAGTCCCACCAGTGGGAACTACAGAACACGGTAAGTTTACACCATTAAGAAATACTTACAATGAAGATTGCGCAAACTTGTTGCCCATCTGGATATAGAGATAGGTTTAGCAGTTTTTGTTGACTTGAAATAATTATGAAATATTAAGGTGATGTTGTTTGACAGAATTAAAGATATTCCTGATACATGTTATTTATGATTGTGGACAAATTGCAAAATTCATTTGATTTCTAATTTTTTGTGCATTCCAAAACTGTTTTTGGAAGCAAATAGTCAGTGCTTTGTTGGTTGTTCCATCAATCTGTCAGTCTGTCCTTATGTGTCTAGAGCATAACTTTGCAAACAGTTAAGCAAGAATTATGAAACTTGGTATATATGTTGGTCATATTAAGGTCATGTGCAGTGTACATGTACCAAATTTAGAGCTTCAACCCCTCAGTTATAAGTGTTATTGCATAGATTTGCTTGTGTTTATACTAGGATAAATTAAGGCCCGCAACCCCTTAATTACAGGGTTAATGCACTTTTTTAAAATTTGCTAGTTTGAGGTTTGATGATAAATAATTTGAGGCAAGTTTTTGTACTGTTGGTGGTACTGTTGTTTTTATTTCAAACCAGCTTTTATATTATGATTAGTCTCCATTTAACAGATGTCAACACTGCCTTCCAGCAGTCAGCACGGAATGTTCTTATCGATGACGAAGAGCTTCTCCAGAGATTCCATTTAACAGTGGCCTACAAAGCTCCAGAGAAAAGTAGATAATATGACTTATGTTCAATCATGTTTTTGTACTGTTGATGTTAATCAAATCAGAGATGTAGATAATGTAATAATACTCGCGTTCAAATCATTTTTCTTGTACAATTGATGTTAATCTGATCAGATAAGTAGATAATGTAATATCACTGATGTTCAGTAATATTTCATATGTGTGATGTTGTTCTGAAGAAAATACTTCAAACATCATTCAGTTGATAAGTCAGTTATATTTTGTCAACAGAGCAGACTGCAGATAGTGTTTCTTCCGTAACTCAGTCAGCCTCAGTAGAGAGTGGCTGGGCTTCACTTGGTCTTGCTCATACTGTTCAGTGGCCGCTCCATATATTCTTTACACCTTCTAGCCTTCAAAAGTAAGTACATTTAATTTATAGATAGAACATCTTGCCAGATCTTTTTAGTGCTTGCATTTAGTACACATTTCAGTCTGTCAGTGTACTGTATCGGATGTCATAGGACTTCAGTGTCTTTTTCTTATTTTCAATCATTTCAGTTTTGGTAATTGAGTGAAAGAAAATCCCTGACGAGAGATTGATTCTTGTTTCCTTTTCTACATTCCAGTGGTCCTTAGATATCCAATACCTGATGTAGACTATTCTCTCAGTGTTCTGAACTGGTTTTTCTCCAGATTGTTTGGTTTATTGGATTAAGGGTATTGGTGTAACGATAGGTTGACTTATTGATGTATTGTGATAGCTTTGCTCAATAGCAATAGGTCATTAGCATATTTTCAAGTCAATAACTATCGCAATAGTTCGTTCAGCTATCGATTGTGAATGATAATTCTAAACATAGGCAAAAATGCTACCTGAAAGAAAGATTTGCACCAAGTTACAGCCAAATGGCTGCAAGCCTTTATTTATTTATGAAAGCGCCATTGGGACCTTCATGGGGGTAGTGCTAAATACAACAATGTCACAATTACTTACTTATAGTATGGAAACAGAATTTTGAACACAAGTTGTTACATCAATGAGAGGTTAACTTGAAACAAGTTATTGTTTCCAAATATAATCTAATTAAATCTACAAACTATGATTTTCTGTTATGCACTATATTCTCACTTTCTGTTATGTTTCATTTATTCCTTGAAATTAAGTACCTGATATCGAAACAGAATAAGAAGAAGTCGCACTTCATCATTATAACATAAAGTTCTACACCTTATGATATTTGAAATGTACTGAAGCATTATCAGTGGTAAGATAACATGTAAAGTTAAATTTTTAGGTACAACCGTTTGTTCTGTTTTCTCTTGGCGGTACGGCGAGCCCAAGTCGACATCCAGCAATGTTGGGTATTACAGATGCAGTTCAAACAACGCTTAGTCAGTCGAGAGGAGATGGCCAAATGGCAGCTACGTACTCACATGTCCTTTTTAGTGGATAACCTGCAGTATTACCTACAGGTAAAGACAGATCCTGATATAGGATAGGTGATGCATGATATTTGATTTTACTGGAACCGTATTTGTCATGTCAAGTTATTAGGGTATAAAATCCAAGCAATTTCTTTTTTTTATGACCTTAATTGCCTTTTATGTGTGGACAGGCTGATAAGATTGTAATAATAATGTCCACTTAAATAAGCTGAGGGAAGTTTACTTTGTCTTTCCTGTATTGACATTTTTGAAGAACAGTTAAGATCAATGCTTAAGTAATTATAGATGATATTCACATGTTTTGGAGGAATGATGCAGATCAGTTTTGAAGTACAACTTAGTAACCTAACTTTTATGGTGATTATGTTCTCCACTCTCTTCAATACACCGGTTGATATTTTAGTTTAGGAAATTGAGGCGAGCTATGACTTTTTAATGCTATTTGTTTTTAGGTTGATGTAATAGAGTCACAATATGGAATTCTTGTGGATAAAATTAACTCAACACGAGATTTTGAGGCAGTTCGACTTGCCCATGACCAGTTCCTATCTGCCTTACTGTCGCAGAGCTTCATCCATAGCAAGCCAGTAGGTAGATCTATTATGCACAGTTGGTATTAGTCAGATTATTTTGCTGGCAAAACTCTTATTTAAAATTTTAAAGGCACCAACTTCAGTGTAATTTAACCATATTGGTAACAAAGTTTTTTTTTTGACTTCTGAAGTTAGGTTTTTTTTTTCTTTTTTTCCTAATTTGAAAAAAAAATGAAGCACTTTTACCCTCAAATGTCTGTGAAACCACAATCTTAAAATTAGATTTAGTGTTCTGATAAGCACTAGGTTTGTTTGTGTAAAGTTTGTGTCTGAGTATTTATTTGTGTTATGTATAACTCAGAGTGGTGTAAATGTTATGTCTAAGGACTTGTTTGTGTTCTGTATAACTGTGAGATTTGCATCAACACTTTAATCTCAAGATTTTTTACATATGATGGATTGGGAAGGTTTGTACATTGACTAGCATAAATTGTACAACATACGTGAGGAGCATTACACCAGTATATCAAAAGATCATTTTGATCTGTAATTACCACTTTACTACTTGGAGTTTGACTTAGTGTTAAGCTCTAGATTTAGATTTACACAATATTATTCAACACTAGATATATTTATAGTTTGTATTTATCACAATGTTTAGACTTAAACATTAATTTTTAGCACTATGTATAGTTAGATTTTATATTTATGTTCCTTTAGTTAGACATTGTGTGCAAGTCCATTTCCTTCAGTGCAGGAGTGAATATATGTTTTAGAAACATTTCCTAATTATGAAAGAAATTTACAAAAGGTGACTATTTTTACAGGTATCTAACTGTTTGAATGAGATTTTAGAGCAGTGTGGAGCCTTTAGTCACTTACTCACCCATTGTGAGTCGCCTATGTCACAAAGGGAGATTACCCAGCTGCAGTCCATAGGAAAGGTGTGTATCTACATTATTTATTTAGATCTTAATTTATTCATGAAAGCACACAAATTTCCGGAAAATTTTGTTGATATATCCTAAATTGCTGGTTTACAGTAATAGTGAGTTCTCCAAATACTGATATGTTAGAATATGTATGAAAATATGAAAATGGCCCAAAGTGAATCTGCATCGAGTACAATTCATGATTTGATTCTAATGAGAAGTTAGAATTTTGAGGAGATATGCAACAAAATTTGGCTATACTTAAGGGTCTTTTTTATCATCAATAGTTTTTTGACAGATATTAGCTGGAATTCAACATTTGTCAAGGAATTTATGGATCAATTTCTGTCATGCCTGCAATGAGGAGTCACAAAAGCAGGACTATGATGTTACTTTTTGGTGGTGACATTGTAGTTATTGATATTTTACTTTAAAAGTTTTGTGTTTATATCTTTTATTCAGACAGTATAAGTTCAATTTTAACCAAACTTGGTATATAGCTAAATCCCCAAGTGGACATTTCTATCCACTGCTTACAAAATATATTACAGATTTTATAATGCAGTGGCTCTGAACGATAGGGATGCTAAGAACCAGGACTTTAAAGTTTACTGTTTAGGTCAGTTTCTAGCGAAGTCGAAGTGCTGTTTCAATGAAACCTGAATATAGTGCAGTAATGGTGTAGTATGAACATCTGAATGCACGAAATAGGTGTAGTGAATTTAATTTGTTTGGTGTAATTTTTGGACTAAAAACTTCAGAAATGACTACAAAATATTTAATGCCTGTGTTTTCCCCACTTCAAATGAGTTTTCCCCCATTTTGAGTACCTAGGGTTAGCAGGACAGTATAACATGTAAAATTGTTCATGATGCTAGTCTATTTGTTCAACACACAATCTCCAGAACCGAGGGTTACCCAATCTCCAGAACCTAGGGTTAGCAGGACAGTATAACATGTAAAATTGTTCATGATGCTAGTCTATTTGTTAAACACAATCTCCAGAACCGAGGGTTAAACACACGATCTCCAGAACTTTGGGTTAGCAGGAGAGTGCTGCCAGTCTATCTGCTAAACAACCCATCTCCAGAACCTTGGTCTAGCAGGACTGTATAAATCATGTGTAATGACCTGTGTTTGCAGAGTTTCCAGCTGCAGTCCAACCTGCTGTTCAAGATCTTGTCTAGTGTAAGAAGTCACAACGCTAGTCCTCATCTGGCCCAGCTACTTCTCAGACTTGACTTCAACAAATACTTTACCACCGCTGGGGGTCAGCTTGGCAGGTAGGTTTGCTTAAAAAATACATGTCAGTCTTTACGCCCTCAGCCAAAAAGAGACTACAAAAGATATAGGTAAATGTTCAACAGAGACTGATTAGTTGTCTAAGATATCATTTACTTAAAATCTTCTTATTTATTAAACTGTCGTTAGTGACACTTGGTCTTGTTAGCTTCTGGTGATATAAATGTGCAAGATGCCAGCTTGTTATGTTCAGATAATGTGTTCAAATTATATGATTGGTCAAGCTTGGCAAGATATACAAGACTATTGCAAGAAAATAAAACTGTGCAAGGAAATGCTAAGTTAGTATAAAAACATGACATCTTGGGAGTTTGAGCTTCAAATGTATAACAATTTAGAGTTAACATCCACCATATCCTGGTATCACTTCAAAGCCATGTTTTTGTAGGTATTGAACAGAAGAGATGAAGAAACCGAGGCTTGTCAAAATAGGCTATAGAAACAACAGATTTGTACCAGTATAAGGAACTTAAGTGACTAATGAACTCAGCAATACATGACCTAACAAAGGAAAAAATATATATTTATTGTGCTAGATGGAGCTAGATATCCAAGTTTTTTCCTGACATTAAAATAAACAGTGCTGCAAATGTAAGTTTTTGTTTCTCCACAGAATATTGTACGGATTGGAAATAGTTATCATTTGAAATTGATATTTCTACATTGTTTGTTTATAAAACTTCTATGTAAACACAAAACATTTTTTTTTTGTTTTTCACTAAAAAGAATAAAAATGTGCCATAAAATGACCAATAATGAAGTGTAAAACACCAGAAAATAATAATGTACCAATGACCAATTATGAATAATTACAAACCATCATCACATCAGATGAGGTTAAACAATCAGATCATTTGCTTCTCAGAGATAAGAAACTGAAGTGGGCAATGGCTACAAGTTGCTTGAGTAAACTCTTGTTAGGAGTCGTATGTTTCACAAGTCATCTTTGTAAAGTTTCATTAGGCATGCAATATATTTTCATACTGGACCCAGTTAAAAATTGTTAGGGAAGTTAAAGAGTGATATAATCTGATTGTCATCAACTATATATGCATCAGGAACAGCAAGGATATTTTTTAATATTGCCTCAACTATGATTGTTAAAACTGAAAATAATTTTATTCAGCTTTAATATAGGTATTTAACTGTATTTTCCAGAGAAAGTATCCAATGTCAGTGTAAGTTAGGTCGTTACAACAACAAATTTATTGAATGTCAAACAGATTGAATGTTTCCATGAAATCTTGTCTAAGCTGTAAATTTTGTCCTAGTGACTTGACGATATGTTTATAAAACAATTTACCAGGCTCACCAAGTTTACCAGCATTGCAAACAAAAGGTGTGTAGTTAACAGTATTAAGGTCACCATGACCTTAATGTCAAAGGCAGCGACAGAATGAATAGATTGATAGAAGGCAATAAGCATGCAATGTAAATGCAGGTGTTAAAGTGTTGAGATGCATTCTGGTTGATTTCGAACGTCGAACTGGCTCAACAACATACCACACGTTCCAGTGGACATGTGGGCACAGTCCTGTAAACAGCATATTGTGCATGCATAGTAACATCACGTACACATACAAAATGCCTCTATGCATATAGGTATACTATATACATCATATAGACTGTATTGGGACACCTGGGCTCAAATATATATATTTTGGAGATTATATGAACTCCAGAAATACTAAATCATCATATCTCATGCCAGCAATTTGTGAGGTGTGTCTTGTTTTCCCAGTAATAAGATGAAGTTAGTATAATATTAAGATACAGAGTCAATATCTAAAATATAGTACCAGTATTAAGTCAAAGGAAAACACAACAGTTAACTCCCTATCCAATCTGCCTTCTCTTACTTCTACTTTCACTCTTTCCCTTCTACTGACTTTCATATCTTGTCTGCTGAAAGGCTACAATAGCAGATTTAATGCCTGCTAATAACAACTAGGATCCGTATGGAACTTGGTCATGAAGCTTCAAGCAAATTGGGAACAATCTTCAAAGTCAAAATGGCTGCTGGAACAATATTGAACATGTTTATAATCTAAGAAAATCTTATTTCAATTTCTTGATGATCATGAGTTACAAACTTCAAAGTTAAACATTTCTCTTCGTCAGCAATCTTTGATATTGGATCATATGTGATTGTAGCATTTACAACTCAAACTCGAAAATTCTTACAGTTTATTAAAGTTTTCAGTACACCAATGTGTTGGCATTCTGGGAGAGGAAAACACCCCTTTAGTAAATAATCCAAGAAATCAATACCTCCGATTTAATATAGAGTTCTAATTTGCTCACATTATAACAAACAGAGAATTCATTTTTATTTTTTTTATTCCATTGCTATACCTGATAACTGAGATGCATAGGTTTAATATACAAAGCAATTGCTTAACAAAGATGAAGTAAATATAAAGTAGCAATTGGTAAAAACATACAATATAAACATGTACATACTCTATTGATATATATTATGTTCAGAATGTAATTAATTGCCTGAAAGCCCAGTAGATTTATAACAAACTATTTTCTCTTACATACCACAAATAACTATTCAATCATCACCATACTGTTACATATCGTTCCATAAGTCGATAGTACAAAAATAAACTACTTTTCATGAATGAGTGAATATTATACATCAGGTGTGATGGCCATTCTTAGTACCTATTCTTATGGTTATTTCACTTCTCTGTTCCAATATTCATTATATCCAATATTCTGTTTATTATGTCTCCTCTTCAAATGAAGGAAGTGGTAGGGGTTGGTGTCAGTTAAAGCATTTGTCTACATAATATAAAGTGAAGATTCAAGGTATGTTGTTATGACACAAATTACCCATGGTGCTTTGTGTGTCTCAGAAAGCTAAGAAATGAACTGGTCTATACGTATGTCCTTGGTTAAGACACTTTAATCTCATCATTCTGGATTGAAACACAGGGTGATAAAGCCATTAAATCAAGTGGAAAGGGAATGAAGGGAGACATATCAGTGCTGGCTTTATCTGGTTCTTCAAGATTATATATATGTTCAAAACTTTACATTTCTTGTCTGGCCAGTACTTTTAAAGTATGAAGACATTTACTCATGAATGTTGCTGTTCACTATTACCACCCATTGATGAAATGCAGAACATTGAGGTGTCAATGATCATTGCAACTTTGACCTCAAGGTCAAATAAATGCAAATTTTACAATACAATTCAGTAAGTTAAATTTCTTTATTTACTAATAAATGGAGACATGTTTTTTTCCACTAAAACAAATCTCTGATTAAAGATGTCCCTGTATTATTTCACATAGTTCATCTTACCTTTTACACTTTGTAATACACCCATGTCATAAATGTTTTCCATGCATACAAGATTTTATGAAACAAGTCTTGAAGTTATTATTTTTATGACCCTTGGTAAGCAAATATTAAAACTTTGAGAAAAGTTTCATAAAATTTCGTATGAAATGAAAACAAATTTATGATACTTTTTATCATAAAACTCAGAAAAATAACATTTTGACAGGTTTCAAAATCGAAGTGTGGAGGACCAAATCAAACATATTCTGATATCACTATCAATTTCTGTCTGGCAATGACAATTGCTACAGGATATATTACATTATTTACACTTGTGATCATACACAAACATTAACAAATCAAATGCATAACAAAAACTGAAATAAATGCTGTTATAACACATGATTAACACCAGAATAACATTTCCTTACTAACCTAGTATGACTACTACAAGAACAGATCCTGTATATTTGTGGTCTCTTTCAATCAATTTTTCAAAATTTAGATTGAAGAAATCTTGAAGTGCATGTCAGTGTGAAATCTTCTTTTGTATACCAAGCAGACAGCAATCCAAGGAGGAACTATATACACTATGTCTTAAACATGATCTAGACTAGAAAAATTTATTTTACCAGTCGCGGATGACATCTCAACACAGCAAAATACTGATATTTCACATTTTATACAAACAATGTAGTGATATTCATGTTATGACTAATAATACAAACTCCTATTTGAGCAGTCATACATGTACATTACAAAAATGTACATAATCTCAAAACAGGTCAGTTATAATTATCAATGAACTCTTTCACATGTTCTTTTTATAATGTCAATTTTAAGGGAAAATGTTTCATTTTGAAAGATGGACCCAAAAGAAAACCATACCCTGCTTAAACACAACTTAGTCATGTCTGACCACTGTCAACATTCGACTGTTTAGAGTTCACTTTTTGAGAGTACCAAAGAAACGTTTACTGAGAATACCAACTTTAAACTAGAATTGAATCTGGAGTCACCTCTTAAGTATCCAGGACCTGCTTGACTAGCATTGGTTGATTTTGAGGTGTCATATGTCCAACCATCCTTTGCCAAGATTAAACTTGAATTTCATGTCTCTACATCGCCAAGGTTTGCAACATCATTAGGTTTATCTGCAAGTAGAAATAATCATGTTGTTTAAAGATTAAGAACTAAATAACAAGCATATATAAGACGTGATGAAACCATGACATAAGATCCCATTATTAACATTGTCAAATTCATAAGGAACAAGAGATACCTGGTGGGATCATTGCACCCACCTTCGTTTGATCTTTGATTCTTATTTAACATTTGAATCTTCTCCCTTCCTGTCTTTCCTCTATTTATTGCTCTTAATTACATCATACATGAAATAGTAAAATTCCTCTTAAAAACAGCAATATAATTCTTTAACTGCCAAATCGAAGATGGTGGTCTTTCAGCCATTTTTTTTCCTCTTACTAGCCAAAAAATTCAAAAGAGCACAACAAGGGAAACCTAAAAATGAAATTTGAGAAAAAATCATCTTGTTCTTCTAAAGAAATAACAGTCAAAATCCAAGATGGCTGCTTGTCAGAGATTTTGTTTTCCTGTATGTTGTCAATCCCAAAATGAGATAATGTACAACTAGGGAGCAAGAGGAACTTACAAATGAAATTTGAGGATGATCTATCAAGTACTTCCTTAGAAATAGGGAATTCATAACTTATTTAAGGATAGATGAACAACTATGGACCATGAATGAAATGTGATTTGAACAGCCCACAATCTGATGATGGTGGTCTAGTGACAGTGCACTTACCTATGCAGCTGTTTTCCTAGTAACAATATACTTACCTAAACACCTGTTGTCCTAGTGACAGTATACTTACCTATACACCTGTTGTCCTAGTGACAGTATACTTACCTATACACCTGTTGTCCTAGTGACAGTATACTTACCTATACACCTGTTGTCCTAGTAACAATATACTTACCTATACACCTGTTGTCCTGGTAACAATATACTTACCGATACACCTGTTGTCATAGTGACAATATACCTACCTATACACCTGTTGTCCTAGTGACAATATACTTACCTATACACCTGTTGTCCTAGTGACAATATACTTACCTATACACCTGTTGTCCTAGTAACAATATACTTACCTATACACCTGTTGTCCTAGTAACAATATACTTACCTATACATATGATGTTGTCCTAGTGACAGTATACTTACCTATTCACCTGTTGTCCTAGTAACAATATACTTACCTATACACCTGTTGTCATAGTGACAATATACCTACCTATACACCTGTTGTCCTAGTGACAATATACTTACCTATACACCTGTTGTCCTAGTGACAATATACTTACCTATACACCTGTTGTCCTAGTAACAATATACTTACCTATACATATGATGTTGTCCTAGTGACAGTATACTTACCTATTCACCTGTTGTCCTAGTAACAATATACTTACCTATACACCTGATGTTGTTGGTTGCCCGAGTGACAGTATGAATCTGTATGCCCTTGTACATTGCTACACGGTAACTGTAAGTTTAAAGTTACACAATCATTGTATGTTATCTATGGCTGACAGCTTACTTTAGATAAAATGAGTAATTCATACTGATACTGAACCATTTTAGTAGGTATGTAATCTGAAAATTTAAACCTACTATATGGTGTAGGTGATGTTAAATGTTTTATTCGGAAGACCTCAGACTTGGAAGTAGATAGATACTTTAATAATGACCTACAAAAATAATTAGTTGATGTGAAAACTGCAAAATAACATGACCTATTAGCAGAAAACTAAATTCTGTGACTTACACATCACTGTTATTTCAGAAATGATATCATTATCTTGTTGACTGTTCAACTAAATTACGACTATTAATTATAGTCAAAAATCTGCGACTAGGATATTGTCTTTAATTGCTATTAAATATCCCAAATTGTCAGTGATTCAAATATGTGAAATTTCCAGACATACAAATTTCTCGTACTATGATGACTACACATCACTAATCAGAGTAAGTATACATACTTTTCTCCACTGATGGACACCACCACTGTGCCTTTGGGGCTTCGTTTCCTGGTTTTCTCTATCTTTTGGTTCTGCTCTGGTGAGTAGGCATGCCATACATTCTGCTTATCTTCCCATTGCCATATCACATCTGTGGATGACATTGTCGATGTCGACATCAGAGAAGCAGTGTCCGAAAAGGTTTCTGTAATAAACATAGGTAAAAGTGACATGTATATAAGTAGAAAGAACAACAAAAAACACGGACAGATCTGCTGGAGCCAAGGAAGTAAAATTTTCTCTGTAATTTTTGTATTCTAATTAGTTCAGTTTTCCAATGTTGAAGTTACATGAATGTCAAATATCATGAACCCCAAGTCTTAAGGTACTTAAAGACCTATAGTGGTGATGAACACTGCACCTCTAAAAATAGGGTAAGCTATTAAAACTGCTTAATGTCAGAATGAGGTATGGAGTTTTATACACTATTCCAGACATCTTAACCCAAAAGTGGACTTACTGATGAGCTAAACTGATCTGTTTCTTCATAAAAATTGTAATTACAGGTTGAGTAATGACAAATATGAATTTACCACTTAAAACATCAAGGCTGGTGTTCGCCTGACTTCGAGATGTTGATATCAAACTGGATGTGCCGGAAGAGAGGTTTCTGATGCTGTCAGCTCCTACTGCAATCGTTCGTCCTCTGAGGGAGCTACAAGGAGAGTCTGTGGGAGACTGTGTCAATACTGAAGATTCTGAGGATAGGGTCATTTTAATCTTAGATGTTTCCAAGTCTGTGGTGGGATGAGATATATATGTTCTCTGCTCTTCCGTCAAACTAAATTTTGATTTTGTAAAATCAAGGTTATCATCTCTGACAGCTTCACTATGTCCAGAGCTTCCTGTGACTGGAGTGCCAACTGAGGCAACAGCTTCAGGTTTACGGAGTGTCCCCACTGCTTCAGGTCCTGGTGTACTCTGTGACAAGGGAACACCAAAGTTAGAGGATTCATTACATTCTACAGAATCCTCTAGACTGATGCTTTGACTGTCACTTTGATATCCAGCAACAGTGTGTGTTATTTCATTTCTTTCACAATGTGTTGCACTGTCACCATCAAAATTCTCACTGCTGACTGGCTTGTAGTTTTGACTGGGCAACACTGATGTACAAGAATTGACTTTCTCATCGTCTAAACTGTGTCTCTGGAAACTGCCTGAAAGACCTTTTACATCTGGAAGAAGCTGGAATGGCGTGTCTGCCTGCTGGTTACTAGAATAGACTGAAGTATCAAGGTCATGTAGTATTGAACCTTCAGCATCCTTCACTGTAACATGACCTTCAGTGTCCTTCACTGTGACAACACCTTCAGTTTCCTTCACTGTGACATGACCTACTTCCTTCACTGTTGTGATATGACCTTCAGTGTCCTTCACTGTGACATGACCTTCAGCTTCCTTCACTGTGACATGACCTATTTCCTTCTCTGTTGTGACATGACCTTCGGTTTCCTTCACTGATGTGACATGACCTTCAGTGTCCTTCACTGTGAAATGACCTTCAGTGTCCTTTACTGTGACATGACCTATTTCCTTCACTGATGTGACATGACCTTCAGTGTCCTTCACTGTGACTTTACCTTCAGTTTCCTTTGCTGTGACATGACCTTCTGTTTCCTTCACTGTGATGGAGTTCAAATCTTCCAAAGGCGACTGCTCAGTTAATGCCTCGGGTCCTTCAGTCCTTCGGGGAGGAAGACTTGTGGCAGATTCATTTTTTCTGTTCATGGCTTCAACCAGAGACAACTCTATGCATCTTTTTTCATCCTTATCCTCTTCATCCTCTTCTTCATCTGAGAGGCCTTTAGAAGGTTGCATAATATCATAGATTGACATTGATGGAACTTCAAGACGATCATCATCATCATCATCATCATCATCGTCATGTGGTATGTCCGGAACAGATGGACATTCTGATAAACTGCTGGATCTAGATGCTAGAAATACCCCTCCTGTGGCCCCTTCCTCAGCCTGCACACAGATTCTGTGTTCAGCTTGTTGTTTAGCTCGAATTTGATGTACCTCAAATGGGTCACTGATTTAAAAGAAATTAAAATTTTGTATAAAAATTTTTCAAAATTTTCAAAGGCAATATATTTCAATTAAATGATTTAAGAAGTATATATTGTTGAGTTTAAATTACCCAGTAACATCATGAAAATATGTTCACAGCTAATTTTGATTCACTACTCATATTTCCTGTGCTGCTTTCTTGAAAGTTATATTCATGCCAATCTCTACAGAGACTGATGGGATAAACAATATGCTGTGTCCATATTGAGCTACATAATGTATACTGTACCAATGCTCAAGTATTTCACAAGTAATCTGCGATTTTCTCAGCGTGAAGGTCTTACAGTTTTTTATTCATAATGTTTAGTTGCACATTCAGAATTTTGAAAAACTATAATATTATAAAATGATGCTAACTGTACAGAATAAAATGTTTTATAAAAGTTGAAAATAGGATTTTCCCAATGAATGGTATACTTTTCACATTAACATGCAAAAACCTAATTTATGATAATTGCTTACCATACTTCCACATCCTGTCTGAGAGTTGCGATATACTTAAATTGTCCTCTGTGACCATTCGGCCATCTTACCTTTGTTTGAAAAAAAGAAAAAAAAATCTCATATGCTAATTGTTCTTCTACATACACAGTAAAACTTATTTCGAAGGACGAACAAGGTAATATTTTCAAAGAATATGCAGAAAAGTGTATATATAACATGTACATGTAGTAGGAAACATTGTTTAGCATTGTTAGGATCTAAAATAAGTTCAGATTTGCAAATGAAGTGTAAAATTGAATCCAAAAAGTGACATTTTGCCATATGTATATAGGATGGTCACTTCACTGACTTAATTGACTGTCAATTACTAATTCACACAAGTTTATGTCAATTTAACATACGTCATGTATTGACCTTTCACCTACCCAGACTTGCCCATCAGGTTTTGTGTGATAAACGGTACCTATCTTTCCAAAACCACCATCCTGGTCATCATACTCCCAATCTATCCCTGCAACAACAAAATCTTCAAATTAGAGGTGGAAACATCTACCTGACATAAAACTGTCATGAATCTTAAGCAGCTGATATTTATCATCAAGTTACAGGGACAATCACTGGAACATGTGACAATTTTGTTTTTCATTGTCGCTTGCCAAATAGTCGTGAACTACTCAGACTTGGTTCAAAAATCTTATATAGAAAAGAAACAAACATTGTTAGTAAAAAAATCAAATTCACTCATCAAGCAAACCATTTGAATTTATCAGGACCACCTAAAAATTTCTTTTTGAAAACCATCATGGAAAGGCTCGCGTTAACTGTTTTTGAGTGAAGATCCACTGCTGTTTAATGGTACACTGCATACCAGAATGTAATCTTATCTGACAGAATAATACAGGTTTACTAAATGCCAGGCCAAAATTGAGCCTCACCACGACAGACAACACATCCTGTTGCTATGGTTTCTTCTTGCGTCAGCAGTCGTGGTTCTTCTACAACCACTACATCAAATGCCTGATCGTTACCATAGCGATATTCCCCCTTGTTTGAGCAGTCCCATTCTATCTTTATCCAACCTGTAGGTCAACACAAGAAATATTGTCTGTATTCCAAATCAGTATTTAACTTCAGTAAAGATGAAATCTCACAATAAAAGAATTCTTGTCAAAATCTACATGGTAAAAGTTGATTTAAAACATTCTTGTGCACATTTAATCAACAAAAATACATTTTGAACCTGCAAGTATATTTTATCAAAAGATTTTCGTCTACATTCAATCTTGAAAATTAAACTTCTCTGTCAAATATTCATACATGTTTTACATTCAAAGCCTAAATACCAGTTACACACAATTTACCATTCTAATGTAATGATAGGACTCCTTGTCGTGACCTATAGTAGGACTCATCATTCTTATCATGACTAATGATAGGACTCCTTGTCGTGACCTATAGTAGGACTCATCATTCTTATCATGACTAATGATAGGACTCCTTGTCGTGACCTATAGTAGGACTCATCATTCATATCATGACTAATGATAGGACTCCTTGTCGTGACCTATAGTAGGACTTATCATTCTTATCATGACCAATGATAGGACTAACCGTCCTTGCCTTCACCACCATTGATAAGACTGACCATCCCTGTCTTGCCCAATAATAGCCCTCACCGTCCTTGCCTTGACCCTCATTGAAAGGACTCACTATTCTTGTTGTGACCAATGATAAGACTCACCATCTTTGCCGTGACCAACAACTGTGCCAACTCCATTGCCATCCTGATTTTTCCACTTCCATTCTGGTCCGCGTCGAACTCTTGTCCCAATAGGAGGCATGTTGGGGTCATTCTCCTGAAGGTCATCAAAGCTGAAGCCCTCATCTACTGTCTCCTGGTATGCTGGATTACCAAGTAAAGCTATCATATCCTCCTGTAACAAACACCACACATCGCTCCATATATAAGTGAGGAAGCAAAGGATAAGTTATAAGCACATGAAAAGTTATAGTCAACTTAATACTTTAACTAAAGTAAGTTTTATGTTTCATATGCCTATCTGCAAAGTGAATATTCCAAGAAATCCATTGTGACTAAGATAACTTGTCAAACATATTTTGAAGGGGAAATTTTGCAAGCTCAAAATTTAAAACCTCAAACAGGTGTATTTCACTGACTGCACCCAATTTCCACCTATTCTTGGGGGCAGTTAAAGAGGAATGATTGAAATTATGAATGTTGAATATCAATAGTATTCTAAAGATAAATTAAAATTAATTTCATTTTATTTCATTTCATTAAAATTAGGGTCATAATTTGGGACAAGAGATCCCAGAGGGATCTTGCCACCCAATATCTCTACCATCTCTTCTTTCCTCTGTTTTTGGTCTTACCTATATTTGAAATTTGAAAATTCCTTTTCAAAATTAACAATAATAATCTTCACCAAGTCCAAGATTGTCATTTGTTTTTATGTTTCTGATCAGTCTGAAAATCTAATGAGCACAACTAAGGACCAAATATGGGGCGCCAAAACATGAAAATATCTTACCTGTACTTCTCAGGAAATAGCGATAACAGTAATTATTTATAGACATAGGGTGATTTGAATAGCCCACCATCATGACGGTTAACTAATAACCCCAATAATAAAAAACATGATTCTACATTCTGATGGCATTACATTAAAATATCACACAAAGCCACAGAATCTGTAACAAATTCAGTCTACTGACCAAGTCATCTGCTGAAAACGTTTTTCCTGTTGTTTTGACTACTGATTCAAGGGCTGTTTTATCCAATCCATCGCAGGGAATTATCTTTTTGATCCTCAGTACACAGGCCTACAACAAAGCATAACTAATAACACACATCCATGAAATCCCCCTGATGTATCATTTGAACATTTTAGACACTTAAAAAAGTAACCTCTTGGAAAAGGATTCATTTGAACATTTCATAGATTTAGTTATGAACTTAAAAAAGTAAATGGTTTATGCAACAGAATTTTGTGCACTCAAAATACAGTTACAACCTATCTTGCTTTCCCTTTAAAATGTCCTGTTATCAGCACAAGGTAATTAATATCTTCTATCAAACGCTAGTTCCTTTTATGGAGTTTTCACAATAACCCCAATAACTAAATAAACAACAAACATATATTCAAATGAATTGTAAATTATAGTGATGGGTGCTCACAAGATTATTGTTGTGTCGTCCTATCCTGAAAACCTCGTCTGGAGACACCATCAGACCAAATGTTGTCGTGACAAGGTCAGTTAGCAAACTCTGTACCAAAACAAACATGAAAAAGACTGCAAGTCTGGGATGAGTTTATGACTGACACAAAAAGGTTATGAACACTTGCAAGAGTTTGCATTTGGTTCAAGACCAAAAACAACATTGACAGGAAGAGCTATTCCATATCTGAATAAACAAGCAGTTTCTGTAATGTAATTAACTGCAATAGTTGAACTATACTGTAATTTTAAACACCAATTTACAGGTTATTGAAAAAAAAACTTCCTAAACTGTGCATAAAATCACCAGACTTAACATGAAAATCTCAATATTTTAATTAAACTCTGATGAAACACATTTCTTACAGCTCAAAATATCACTGTTCACTATCAACCTAAATAAGGACACATTTTTAAAACAAATTCTTTTAGTCTAAGAGTTCTGATAGGTTTATATTGCATGAAAAACATTAAATACCTGATTAACATCATCTCCAATAGGGACACAATATATTGGAATCCGCCTTTCGGCTAATTCTCTACCAAATGTTAGAATCTTCTCTCTTGTCTGAAATCACAAAACACCACCATCACAATAAATGCTGACATATACATAAAAAAACAGGTAAAGAATAACAGTTTATCATACAGACATCACATTATAATGACAGTTACAAGCATCCATGTTTTATTGATTGTCTGATCATGTGACAAGAGAAAGGATCAAGAAAGTATGCAATGAAAATATTAATACAAGAATCATAGTAATTTAGAAACTTCACCTGTCCAGTCTTAGTAAGCAATCTCTTGTAATCATTAGATTTTAGTAATCACCTGTGGCTCTATGGGAGACTTCCTATCATCTTGTCCTCCAAGTAAGTGATGATCAGTTGCCTGGCCATCACTTAGCAACACTATCCGAGGGGAAATTTTGTGGTTACACACCAAAGTGGTAGCATCACCTGTAAATTCATTTTTACATAACCTGTAATAACATAATCAGCTAATTTTCACGAAAATTCTTAGCAAATTTTGTTTAAGAATAAAATTTCAAAAATTTAATTATTTAAGATTACAGCTATGTCTGTTTCTGAAATGGTGCAAGTATACACATATAAATATCAAACACAAAAACTCCTAACTTTAAGGTGTCAACATGTAAAAACAAGTGTAATTAACATCTGCTAAATCATTAATCCCATTTCCATCTACTTTCTGTGTTGCCTTCATCTAAATATCATCGGTATACAAAATTATAGTGTATGCACACTGCAATTTTCAATGATTGTTTTTGGTGTAGGAATACACCTACCAGTATATGTCGCCAATGTAAACAAAAATGGCTGCCTATCTCTTTTGATATCCTTATACTGACATAGTCGATTGGAGGGATATGGGATGTATAAATACAGGCTTAAAAACCTTTCAAAAACTTACCCTAAAAATTTGAGTGAGTTTTGATTTAAACAAGAAAAAAAAGGGAAAACTGAAGACCATAGCAAGAGGAAATTTTCAGAAAAATCCAGATGTTTGATGTATTCTTATGGACATCAAAACTCCCAAAATATTTTAAGTGAATTTTGACGGAAAAAATTCCAGGGCATTCTTCTAAAAATACAAAATCAAATCTTAGTCCTCGTCTGATTCTACACACCAAATAAGACTAAGAAAGGTATGGGATGTATACTTCTGAACTCAGAAACCTTTCAAAAACCTATCCCCAAAATTTTGAGATGGGACATTTCAGTTACATGTAACCAGTGAACAAAAATCATACTTAAGTGTTGAAATGTACATAGTGAATGCTGCTCAGAATTGAAACATGTCAATGCTAAATATTTTACCTTTGTGTTTGAATAATGCCAGAGCCATATCGAGGCCACCATACAGCGGTGAAGATCCCGCAGCACACAGACCATCTACAACACAAAATGAAGATTCATAACATCTTTTCTTTCACATAAGTAAGACTGAAAATAATGAAAAAAAAAACCTCCTTTGCCAGGTATCTGATAAACAGCATCACAAACTCACAAGCTTTCATCAGGTTAATGTGATATTGGCCATACAATAACCTTCTTAAATTGTGAAAAAATAAAATGTGTCATCTGACCAAAGGTTACCACGCCAACTCAACAATACATTCCCTTACAGACTGATAGTCCTTGGTTAGGTAATGCCTACACTGTGACCAAAGGTTACCATGCCAACTCACCAATACATTCCCTTACAGACTGATAGTCCTTGGTTAGGTAATGCCTACACTGTGACCAAAGGTTACCACGCCAACTCAACAATACATTCCCTTACAGACTGATAGTCCTTGGTTAGGTAATGCCTACACTGTGACCAAAGGTTACCATGCCAACTCAACAATACATTCCCTTACAGACTGATAGTCCTTGGTTAGGTAATGCCTACACTGTGACCAAAGGTTACCATGCCAACTCACCAATACATTCCCTTACAGACTGATAGTCCTTGGTTAGGTAATGCCTACACTGTGACCAATGGTTACCATGCCAACTCACCAATACATTCCCTTACAGACTGATAGTCCTTGGTTAGGTAATGCCTACACTGTGACCAAAGGTTACCACGCCAACTCACCAATACATTCCCTTACAGACTGATAGTCCTTGGTTAGGTAATGCCTACACCGTGACCAAAGGTTACCAGCCAACTCAACAATACATTCCCTTACAGACTGATAGTCCTTGGTTAGGTAATGCCTACACTGTGACCAAAGGTTACCATGCCAACTCAACAATACATTCCCTTACAGACTGATAGTCCTTGGTTAGGTAATGCCTACACTGTGACCAAAGGTTACCACGCCAACTCAACAATACATTCCCTTACAGACTGATAGTCCTTGGTTAGGTAATGCCTACACTGTGACCAAAGGTTACCATGCCAACTCACCAATACATTCCCTTACAGACTGATAGTCCTTGGTTAGGTAATGCCTACACTGTGACCAAAGGTTACCATGCCAACTCAACAATACATTCCCTTACAGACTGATAGTCCTTGGTTAGGTAATGCCTACACTGTGACCAAAGGTTACCATGCCAACTCACCAATACATTCCCTTACAGACTGATAGTCCTTGGTTAGGTAATGCCTACACTGTGACCAAAGGTTACCACGCCAACTCAACAATACATTCCCTTACAGACTGATAGTCCTTGGTTAGGTAATGCCTACACTGTGACCAAAGGTTACCATGCCAACTCACCAATACATTCCCTTACAGACTGATAGTCCTTGGTTAGGTAATGCCTACACTGTGACCAAAGGTTACCATGCCAACTCAACAATACATTCCCTTACAGACTGATAGTCCTTGGTTAGGTAATGCCTACACTGTGACCAAAGGTTACCATGCCAACTCACCGATACATTCCCTTACAGACTGATAGTCCTTGGTTAGGTAATGCCTACACTGTGACCAATGGTTACCATGCCAACTCACCAATACATTCCCTTACAGACTGATAGTCCTTGGTTAGGTAATGCCTACACTGTGACCAAAGGTTACCATGCCAACTCACCAATACATTCCCTTACAGACTGATAGTCCTTGGTTAGGTAATGCCTACACTGTGACCAATGGTTACCATGCCAACTCACCAATACATTCCCTTACAGACTGATAGTCCTTGGTTAGGTAATGCCTACACCGTGACCAAAGGTTACCATGCCAACTCACCAATACATTCCCTTACAGACTGATAGTCCTTGGTTAGGTAATGCCTACACTGTGACCAAAGGTTACCATGCCAACTCAACAATACATTCCCTTACAGACTGATAGTCCTTGGTTAGGTAATGCCTACACCGTGACCAATGGTTAACATGCCAACTCACCAATACATTCCCTTACAGACTGATAGTCCTTGGTTAGGTAATGTCTACACCGTGACCAAAGGTTACCATGCCAACTCACCAATACATTCCCTTACAGACTGATAGTCCTTGGTTAGGTAATGCCTACACTGTGACCAAAGGTTACCATGCCAACTCACCAATACATTCCCTTACAGACTGATAGTCCTTGGTTAGGTAATGTCTACACCGTGACCAAAGGTTACCATGCCAACTCACCAATACATTCCCTTACAGACTGATAGTCCTTGGTTAGGTAATGCCTACACTGTGACCAAAGGTTACCATGCCAACTCACCAATACATTCCCTTACAGACTGATAGTCCTTGGTTAGGTAATGCCTACACTGTGACCAAAGGTTACCATGCCAACTCACCAATACATTCCCTTACAGACTGATAGTCCTTGGTTAGGTAATGCCTACACTGTGACCACAGGTTACCATGCCAACTCACCAATACATTCCCTTACAGACTGATAGTCCTTGGTTAGGTAATGCCTACACTGGGTGATGTGACCAAAAGTTACCACGCCAACATTTTCCTCCATTTGCTCCTCCTTTGCAACCAACTCCAACCCTGTTAGCATATTAAGACAATGAAATAATCAGGATATCATTATTAATCAAACATAACAAAGTATTACAAATGAGAAAGTAGAAAAATCATGATGGTAAAACAATTGATGACAACCTTATAAATACTTATCTTTAACATGAAATGTTTTCAATCAATATTTCTGAAAAGAAAGTACAATGCATTTTATAATATGAGATATGTACATTTTACATTGACAGAGAGAGAGACATAACATATTTGGTCTATCTCAGCTTTTAAATTGATTTCCTCTACAGCTAATATCAATTCTGTGACATTACATTTCTGTTTAAGCCACCATAACATGAGGAGTGTGACTGTACAGTTGGAACTGAAATAAAAATACAGGACATCCTCTCTTATTTTTATTTATGTAATAATAACTACTGGAATCAATATCAAAAGTTCAGAAGAATATCATATGAATCTTTGAACAATCAAGAATTCCTGATTCTGTGACCAAGTGTTAAACAAAGTGTTACCCAATAGACTACAGTACATTGTTACTATCTTGAGTATTGTTTTGTCTATAATCTGTTTACCATCTCGACATTCTATTTTTCAACCTTAGTGTATATAGAATTACAGTGCAGTCGAAAAAGTTAGTCAATTCTGTACCATCTTGTACATTACATACATCAGTGTAAGTACACTCCACACAGGTCAATTGTCTGATGAAGGTGACCGTGTAGATCTCGTACACTACGTACATCAGTGTAAGTACACTCCACATGGGTCAATTGTCTGATGAAGGTGACCGTGTAGTCACAGAAACATCACACTCTATTCTTTTACTGGCTGTGTTATAAGAACTTCTATTCTATTCATGTTCACTTCAGCCAAATTCTACATAGCACCATACAAAACAACCAACAATTTTTATATATACTTAGGCAGCTGGTGTAATATTTGTAACCAGAAGTTACAGACAACAATACAGACAATGAATTACTTACAATCTAATATTTCGTTCATGGCATCTTTGGCTTGCTGTAGACCATTCTCCTTCATACTCTCAGAAATGTCGACTAAAAACACAGTGTCTATCCCGTCACCGTAAGGGAGTTGACTTTCCCTGGCTGTATAATGGTTAGAATGACTATTAAATGTTAATGAACAACACAAGACAACACTCTTATTTACTATAATTGTTAAAAGCACTAAACAGAAATTGCCATTATCTGCAGTCTTTTTATGTTGAAAAAAAAAACACAAAACAGAATTTGTGTATTCAAATCAAAAGCATAAAACTGTTATTATGTTTGCATAAAAATATACAGTGCATCGTAAATTTTTCATTTTTCCAAAATAACCACTACCTTTATCGTCAGAATCTGAATATAACATATCTTTTTACAGTTCAGGTAAAAAGTATATGATCTCCAAAATTCTCTTTGAAGTAGACTTTCTTGTGAAGTAGGTACGACACAGAAACACAAAAACATCAAGAGAGAATGATAATACATTATATAACCACAAAAGATGGCTCCCTCAAACACTACAGAATTTTTTCTGTTAATAGATAAAGGAGATCATTTTTAAAAGAAAAATGAAAACGTGAAATATTTACAACTGAATCCTTCCCTAGTATCACAGTAGTGTTTTCCCCTCACCTTTGTCTGATTCAGCTTCTACTACAGAATTCCACATCTCATCACTGATTGTACCATTAGAGATATGTCCTTCTACACTATTTTCCACTTTAACTTCTAGTCCAGGACCAGGTCCACTAACTTGGAATACATCAGGAGATTCAGGTGCTTGTCTAGGACCAGAGTCACAAACATTAGGAAATTCAACATTTTGTTCAGTATCAGGGCCACTGACTCGAGATAAATCAGAATACTGATTACAATTACTTGTTTCTTCTTCATTTCTTTTTTTATCACCTGAATTTGATACTTTTAAGGGTTCTAATGTTTTCCCATTCATGGGGTCATCTTTAACAATGTTTTTCTGAAGTAGTGTCTCTGATCCCTGCGATTTTTCTGAAATTTCTGAAACCTGTTTTGGTCCCATTGTTGTTGTCTCAGATGGCAGAGTCTGCTGGGAACCATCACCTGGATCATTTGTGAAAACTATGTCTGTTCCTTTCCTGGCTTCACCTGAATTTTTCCCCTCAGTTGGATCTGACAAGGAATGCTTTGGTTCATCAGACTGTTGAGATTTCTCCTGTTTATGGTGTGTACCAGGACGTCCTCTGCACTTGCTGTGACGGTCTTTGCCCAAGGTTCCTTTAGTCAGTGCAGACTTAATGCTGTCTATTCTGGTACACATACTGGAGAGGGTTTCTCCAAGCTCCATCACAGTCTTCACCAGCTGTTGCATCTCTGCATCCTGTTTCTGTTCCCGTTGTTCTAAATTCTGCAGTCTCTCCATCAATGTCCCTGAACATAATACACAGCCATGCAATGTCAAAATATACTTCACATGTTACTATTTCATGGGCTTTATATTTTCTATCTTGAATGATAAGTATGTGATTATTATGTACTGCATGATATATAGCAGCCTATAAGCCCGATCACTAAACTGATCTGGTAATTATTGCTCATGTAAAGACACATTATTTGCAGACATATGAAATTTTGTTTAATTATCTTCATGAACTATTTCAAAATGTGCTAATATAAAGAAACTTTCCTTCCTGTCTACACTTTATTTCCGTTAATATCTCCTTAACACAATATTCAATTTTCTTTTGATATGTTGTTTTCTAAAACGACAAATATATGCCAAGTGTCAATCTACTGGTCACCACAGGTCACAGGTCAAATATTTCATCAGCATAAATTAAAATTGCATACTTTTCATTTGTTCATTAGGTTATCTAAGGTCACAGGCCCAATAGGTAATTCATGTCAATCAATATTACATACTTTTCATTTGCATAAATCATTACAATTTAGAGCTATGCCAATGGTCAATATATAGGTCACTAAAGGTCATAGGTCAAGTCAATTACTATCATATACTTTACATTTGCACATCTTATTGCAATGTAAAGTTAATCCAAGGGTCAATAAATAGGTTACCAAACGTCACTTGTTGAATTGGTCATAAATTTCTATCAATATTTGTTACAAATGACATCGATTGGGTAATCAGATTGTTTTACTTCAAGTCAGGTTATAGTTTGGTGAGTTAAGCTGACAATACATAACAGTGACTTGTTAGTTTCTGGTAAAACATTTACATGCCAGGTAAAGAAAAGTTACAAATAGAGATGAATTTTCCCTTGTTATGGTCCCTAATAGCAAAACCTTATTGCAGCATATGCATGTGTATATACAGTATTATTCAACAAAGAGAACAAAAATTACTGTTACCACCCAATAAATCAATCGGTGAAATTTCAATTAGAGAAAATCCTGCTTTGTGATTGGATCATGATGCCCAGCACTTTTCTTATATAAAATTAGGGTTATTTTAGGGACTAGATGAGAAATTTCAAGCCCTTTAGGTGAGATGAATGCTAACCAGTGTCATACATATATATAAATGATAACCTGTGTATATTTTATATATTAAAAGCAAGAGTAACTCTTGATGTAAATCATAGTTTTGGAGATATGTGAAATGTGAATTTACCATCAACATACTAGTATTGTTACAAGATTTCTCACGTACCTGTCAGCTCTCCAAGATGTCTGAAAAAAGGCAATATGGCTGGATATCAATTATGTAAAACAACATGACAGGAAAGAAAATAAAAACACAAAGAGTAGGACACTTGAAAATTGTTTTGGCTATCCCCCAGATAGACAATATCAGTCTGTTATAGTGAGGTTTATATTTTTCTAATTATACTGTTTGTCACTACTAAAAGTCTTCGGTGGACAGCCAACACCTATTTATAGTAAACCTCCATATACAACCAACAACTGTCTTTGTTGAACACTGTTCTGTAGCCAACACCTGTCTTAGGTGACCATCCTTCCTTTTTTGTTACCTTAAACGCTGTTAAGGCTTTTGTTTACAAGTTACCTTGATGTCAGTACGGGCTCTTGTTTATAACTTACCTTGATGTCACTACAGGCTCTTGTTTATAACTTACCTTGATGTCAGTACGGGCTCTTGTTTATAACTTATCTTGTTTATAACTTACCTTGATGTCAGTACGGGCTCTTGTTTATAACTTACCTTGATGTCACTACAGGCTCTTGTTTATAACTTACCTTGATGTCAGTACAGGCTCTTGTTTATAACTTACCTTGATGTCACTACAGGCTCTTGTTTATAACTTACCTTGATGTCAGTACGGGCTCTTGTTTATAACTTACCTTGATGTCAGTACGGGCTCTTGTTTATAACTTACCTTGATGTCAGTAGGGGTTCCTGTTTATAACTTACCTTGATGTCAGTAAGGGCTCTTGTTTATAACTTACCTTGATGTCAGTCCGGGCTCTTGTTTATAACTTACCTTGATGTCAGTAAGGGCTCTTGTTTATAACTTACCTTGATGTCAGTACAGGCTCTTGTTTATAATTTACCTTGATGTCAGTACGGGCTCTTGTTTATAAGTTACCTTGATGTCACTACAGGCTGTTGTTTATAACTTTCCTTGATGTCAGTACGGGCTCTTGTTTATAAGTTACCTTGATGTCAGTACGGGCTCTTGTTTATAACTTTCCTTGATGTCAGTACGGGCTCTTGTTTATAACTTTCCTTGATGTCAGTACGGGCTCTTGTTTATAACTTACCTTGATGTCAGTACGGGCTCTTTTGGCTCTTTTCAAGGTTTTCTATAATAAACTTGTGATTCCACTCTCTCCTTCCAGTGGGTTTGAAGTGTGTAAAATCTTATTACTTAGATATACTTACACATGTTCTCCTTCCATTCTATCCTGTTGCTGATTTAGTCTCTTTAAAATGAAGTTGTTTGTTCTTTCTATCTCTGTGATAGAATCTTTCATTTCTGCTAAATGCTGCAAAGAAAATTTCAATAGTAATGCTCATCATTTTGTTGTGTTTCAAATTTCATTCAAAACAACAAGACCACTGTTATTGATATTCTTAAACAACAAGACCACTGTTATTGTTATTCCTAAACAACAAGACCACTGTTATTGATATTCTTAAACAACAAGACAATTGTTATTGATATTCCTGAACAACAAGACCACTGTCATTGATATTCCTAAACAACAAGACCCCTGTTTTTGATATTCCTAAACAACAAGGCCACTGTTATTGATATTCCTGAACATTGATATTCCTAAACAACAAGACCACTGTTATTGATATTCCTAAACATTGATATTCCTGAACAACAAGACCACTGTTATTGATATTCCTAAACAACAAGACCACTGTTATTGATATTCCTAAACAAGACCACTGTTATTGATATTCCTGAACAACAAGACAACTGTTTTTGATATTCCTGAACAACAAGACCACTGTTATTGTTATTCCTAAACAACAAGACCACTGTTATTGTTATTCCTAAACAACAAGACCACTGTTATTGATATTCTTAAACAACAACACCACTGTCATTGATATTCCTAAACAACAAGACCCCTGTTTTTGATATTCCTAAACAACAAGACCACTGTTATTGATATTCCTGAACAACAAGACCACTGTCATTGATATTCCTAAACAACAAGACCCCTGTTTTTGATATTCTTAAACAACAAGACCACTGTTATTGATATTCCTAAACAACAAGACCACTGTTATTGATATTCCTAAACAACAAGACCACTGTTATTGATATTCCTAAACAACAAGATCACTGTTATTGATATTCCTAAACAAGACCACTGTTATTGATATTCCTGAACAACAAGACAACTGTTTTTGATATTCCTGAACAACAAGACCACTGTTTTTGATATTCATGAACAACAAGACCACTGTTTTTGATATTCCTAAACAACAAGACCACTGTTATTGATATTCCTAAACAAGACCACTGTTATTGATATTCCTGAACAACAAGACAACTGTTTTTGATATTCCTGAACAACAAGACCACTGTTATTGATATCCCTGAACAACAAGACCACTGTTATTGATATTCCTAAACAACAAGACCACTGTTATTGATATTCCTGAACAACAAGACAACTGTTTTTGATATTACTGAACAACAAGACAATTGTTTTTGATATTCCTGAACAACAAGACCACTGTTTTTGATATTCCTAAACAACAAGACCACTGTTATTGATATTCCTGAACAACAAGACAACTGTTTTTGATATTCCTGAACAACAAGACCACTGTTATTGATATTCCTGAACAACAAGACCACTGTTATTGATATTCCTAAACAACAAGACCACTGTTATTGATATTCCTGAACAACAAGACCACTGTCATTGATATTCCTGAACAACAAGACCACTGTTATTGATATTCCTAAACAACAAGACCACTGTTTTTGATATTCCTAAACAACAAGACCACTGTTATTGATATTCCTAAACATTGATATTCCTAAACAACAAGACCACTGTTATTGATATTCCTAAACAACAAGACCACTGTTATTGATATTCCTAAACAAGACCACTGTTATTGATATTCCTAAACAAGACCCCTGTTTTTGATATTCCTAAACATTGATATTCCTAAACAACAAGACCACTGTTATTGATATTCCTAAACAAGACCACTGTTATTGATATTCCTAAACAACAAGACCACTGTTATTGATATTCCTAAACAAGACCACTGTTATTGATATTCCTATACAAGACCACTGTTATTGATATTCCTGAACAACAAGGTCACTGTTATTGATATTCCTAAACAACAAGGTCACTGTTATTGATATTCCTGAACAACAAGGTCACTGTTATTGATATTCCTAAACAACAAGGTCACTTTTATTGATATTCCTGAACAACAAGGTCACTGTTACTGATATTCCTAACTAAGCTATTCCAGTGATATATAAAACACATCAAGAAAACACAAACATGACAACATAATCATAAATAAAACTCAAACTCCATAATACTAGAGCAAAATATGAACAAAACAAAGATTTACAACGAGACTTCTGAAAAAGTACAAGAAGAATAAGACCAGGCATCCCGGATGAGTAAGCGTCTTCTTCATCGACGACACCTGTCATGAATACTTTGGTCAATCCAAGTAAGTAATGCCACGTTCTCAAATGAGAGCAAGGTATACAACAACAAAACCAACAGGAATACTAGCTAGCATCAAATACGTCCAACTTCCAACAGAAAGAAATATAATATTTCTCAATGATATCACTATGGCGACCATAAAAATTCCCCATGATTTTCATCAACCTGCATCTTCTAAACACATGTGTTACGAGTCTGTCAGTCAGTTGATGAATTCTTGGAAGAAAATCGTGATAATGGGAACAGGCCCTTGAATATTGAATCAACTGTGACATGTACAAACTGCCTGGCATTACATCATACCATGGTACTCTGTGCAGTGTGGAGTAGGTCTTGCTCCTTTTGGCTGGTATCCATGGTCACCAATGATCACGGAGTTGGCAGTTAAGGAAATGTGATATCACTGAGTTATAAGATGTACAGTAGAGCCATCTGTAAATCCAAAATGTACAATTAAATTTGTTCATACCTGGTGTCTTTATTTTATTTGTGTTTGTGACTATTTGTTTGAATCCATTAATTACTTGTTCACAAGAAAGTCTTCGAAGAATATTCCACAAGGAACCGATCTAACAAACCAAATTTGAACATGGCTTTGGTCATACATCACAATAACCTCATAGCACTTTATTAGGTTCTATAACCTGTTGTATAAGTTAGATATTAAATTGCCAGCATATTGTATATATATAAAGATACCAGACTAATTGTCAGTATATATTACCATGTGCAAGATTAGTATACTTGTAAAATAAAGAATCATCATCCTTATTATTACAATTTTTCAGGTAATTCTGAGATTGTAAATACATAACGTTGCTTAGCTATAAGTGGTATGTATGATATCAGATATAAGATATCAGATATAAGATATCAGATAAAAGATATCAGATATAAGATATCAGATATAAGATATCAGATAAACTTGTTTGATGGATATTTGGAACACAATTTTAAACTCAATTAAGCCTGCAGACAAGCCAAATATTTAATTTTCATATCAACAAAACAGCATCATTAGATTTCACAATGTGATTTTGGTCTGACGGTCCTACATAACCTTGACCTTCCTTTGAATGCAGAGACTGTCATGATGAAATTGGCTAACAAATACTAATACTTTAATACCCATCATAAAATAAGTATAATATTAGTGAAAACCCTGGTAGACATATGTCTCTTCTTCTCCTTTCTCTCCAAGAGCACCCCTCTTGGAGTTGAAACAGGCAGATTCCTTAACTAAGAATATTCCTTAGAGAGATCTATATACCCCTAGTAGGTAGATTTTATTGTTTACCTGACACAATGACCAAAAGTGACATTTAATAACTTTTAATTCCAACAGAAATGGTTTATGTACTGGTACATTTTTTTATCCTGCAAATGGCACACCGTTATTGGAATACACATGCCACTTATATGTTTGCTGTATTTGACAGTGACAGAAAAACGCTGTATTTAAGCATGTGCGGTAATTTGACAGAATTTCTCTCTGAATTTACTTAAATATTGCATTTAGAAATATAAACAGCTGTTGTAAAAGATGATTTTACATGATGAAATGAACATGATGATTTAGGAAAATTTGTTAAATCACTGTTATATCCGATGAAATTGGGAACTTTGTTTCCACATGCATAGAACAGTTATTTTGGCATCCGTCATCAGGCAAAATTCAGTGTAAACAATGTCAGGTAAACACAGATTGAACAACAAATCTTTTTGTTTCAATAGTCTGATTTTCAATCAGTGTTGCTGGATAAATAGAATACATGTTCTGAGTCTTAAAATTGAAGTTGTATTTTGGCTCAGGGCAGAAGGACAAAAGTGGCTAGCCAAAGGTGCATCACTTTTGTCTTTCTTCACCCTCTCCAAAATACACCTTATATTTTAACACACTGACTATGTATTCTCTATATCAAAAACCTCATGTATATTATATCTTTTCACTATTATTCCCCAGATAGTCTCTAAAAAAAAAACACATACAGACTTAAATTCTTCAATATCACAAAAGTAGAGAAACAGTTCAATACCCATCTGAGCATAATCAGGAGCGTAGCTAGCCCAGCAGAAATGTGTAAGCCAAGGCAAGGGGTCTGAATTTCATGATTTCAAAGATGTTTTGAATCGTTTTCTGACACAGTTTTTTTTTTATAGACTTAACAATAAACTTCAAACCCATGATATTTATTTTCAACCTTAGTTTTGTAAATTTGTCCGACATACTCTATGCACGGATTTTTTTAATGTGTAAACCCAGGCTTTCTCTTTCTATGAAAGCTACGCCCCTGATAATAGGCAGGCGGGCATTAGACCTGATATTTACTTGGTAGTTGTGTTATCTCAGAAATGAGAAGTCAAGTCTGTGAACGAAGGGGAGACAATCGGTCTATAGTTTAGTATTGACAGATAGACAAGATCTATGGAAATAACCAAACTGATGCATAAAGTACTACATACTTATACGGCTTTTCTGGAAATCGGAATAAGTCATTTTACTAGAGGACTATATTGAGATTAGCCTAGCTGTGCCTTGATCTGTGATTTTCACAATAACCAAAGCGAAAGCAAATGGTCACTGAATGATTACAAGGATATACTGAAATAAAATATCAACAAAGGCACGTGTTTGTGCATCTGTTACTGTGAACTATTTTTCAATGACAAATACTCATACCTGGCTGCATAGAACTGTCACAATATGGGTACTATGTGACTCTCCAACTGAAAAGTGCGTGTGGGTTTCTCCAACATTTGGCAACAAATCATTTTCGGAATATCTCTTACCTTTTCATTCCGTATCATGCATCCAGAAACGAAACAAATACTGTGATTAAATCCATGCTCCATAAAATATCAAATACATTTCACTAGCAAATTTGTGTATTATTTTCTAAAATAGATATTCTGTCCAATTTGCAAAGTTTCTTGCTGTTCGGCACCTTTTAACAACCCATGCGGTCTAAATATAGCGCATCGGGAAATCCGGAAGTTATAGTGGCGAAGGCGTGAATAAACTCACAAGTGTCTTTGCTGTTCACTATAATTTCTGCTGGTAGTACAATTTTATCCATTCAAAAGACTTATTTATCTGATTACTTTTTAAAATTCACACTAAAACTTATTCTTTTCTGCTTAAAGCAACGCAAACATTTTATTATCGACGTATCCTTCAAGCATCCTATGAAATCCTAACTTGTGCGAAATATCCCTTTAATACACATTTTTACATGTCAAACATACACCCAGACATGATAAAATTATCCCATTACTTAATCTAACCTCGGATGCCAATGGTTCTGTTGTCGCATGTCAAGTGAATAAAACCCGATCATGAAAAAAGGCCACGCCTCCTTGCAATTTTGAAACTCCATATTTACACGTTACATTAGGAAAATGATGACTTTAAAATTATCTCTTTTAATGACTCATTTTAATTTAAATAGTTTGTTTTATAAATAAGGATTTAACTTTTAAAAAGGATGAAACAATAAAAACTGAATCTAACCCTTTAGAAAATGTGCCCACAATTAAAAAAGCACCACGATTTCATTTTTATTTCTTTCTTTCATCAAAAATGTCATTCTAATTCAACTGCTTACCGTGTGTAATACATGTGTACTTCTGGGTCACTGCTTGCTGACTCAAGCACCACGGTGATTTAGGGATGTCACCTGAAAAGGAAATGCGTGACACTTTCGACACATGTCGGTCTTTGATTTGAGCGAATTTGACGTCGTATCTGTAGATATTTTCTCGATTTTTTTTAGTATTTCTCAAGGCAGTTTTTTTCATTAATTAACCAAATAGTATGAACATATTTTACACCGTTTATGTGTTTGTTTGATTGTAATTCATCGGCATTGCTAAAGGTGGCCGAAACTGAGGACACATGCCACTTTTTCTTCTTCTGCTTTCAAATTCAATTTCGTTATTTTGGTACCAGTCATTTTTTTCCGTTTTACTTCGCCTTCTTGTGCTTCAACCAGTTATAAATTTGAACACGTCTTGCTCATTGCAAAGCAAGTCCAGAGAAAATAGGAGGTCTCTTATTTATCATAACCAATACCAATAACAACTTGTCTTGTATACGATACGACTAAGTTTTAAAATAATCGATATAGTCCATATTAAAGAAAAACAACTCTCATAGATATGTGGCACATGTTAATTGTACATAGGATCATGTGTGACCTGAAGCTTCGCGCTACTCGGAAGGAATTTCCCGTAAAGACCTGGAGGCCACGGGTTCGATACAAGGTGGAAGCAAACAATTCTATTTCCTGTAACAAATGGTGCCCATGGCCCTTCTTGTAATGATAGAATGTTAGAACCTGGGTTGATGGGACGTTCGGGGCGAACACATTAAGAAGTGGGGTGTGGCAGATTTTAATTGTGCACGGCTAGAGGGAATTTCCCTATATCTCAGAGGATGCACAATATGCTCTTTCCTGTAAGATATATTTATCCATTAATTAGTTTTAACACCTGTCGTGTATCAGAACTTGTTTCATAACATGTATATCAGTTAATAAGACTGGTACATAGGAGGGGGCGATTTATGGATTCATTCATTTAATTAACTTTGGGATATTAAATGCAAAGGGTAATTATGGACATCCATTAATCAATTTTGAATATCCGTAAATCACTTGTTCATCTCCATAAATGTATAATTGATATCCATAAATATAGATACCATAAATCGAATCATAAATATTCAAAAATGATTTATGGATATCCATAATCAGTTACTTTTGTCCTCTTTGGACTACCATATAAGAAGTTAGCGTTACCGGAGACATCTCTGCTAGAACATCGTTTCATCATGGGATAATTTCGTTCTCTCTAGACCGTTTCAACCGGGTTAAATGTAAGCGGCCTTAGCGATTAACGTAATATATAAACAAACGGGTTGTCAATATTTTAAACACAACCCTTTAGCATACATCCATCGCAACATGTAGATGTTCAATGGATATTAAAACTTTGTTCAAGCTCCTTCGAAATTCAAAATACACGGGTTTCGGAATGGCAATGGTCATATCTAGAAGAGAATGACACATTTATCGAGTACTTTTGATTTTTATACGAAACTGTGGTAATACGTGGATTTTCCCACTTCCTGTCAGCTGATCTCTGTCATCACTTTATCGCAACAAAATGGTCTGTGTTTCCTGCATCGTGATTCCATTTGTTCTGTGGGTTTTTAACAAATTTATCCGACCATACGTATCCAAATTTCTTCCATGGTTCAAAGAATCCCCGGCTTCTTCCAGTCCTCCTAAAACAGATGGCGATTCAACAAAATCTGACGAACAGGTAACGTGTAATGTTACTGCGGACCTCAAAGAATGATCGATTTCATAATATTACACTGCAATTACGTTATGTCCATCAAGCTGGTGTTTATACAACGGCATGCACAGGCTGTTTGATAGAATTGGTGGAAATTGAAAGGATATCGAATTGTAAATAACAATAATATGAAATAGATAGGGTTAAGAATGTGCGGTGTATTTGTCCTAAGCTGTTTTGACTGGTAGCATCAATCCCGTCGGAGGACGTTGTCAAACGTCCGATATAAATGAGTCCCAAGAAGGAATACCAGAAGGGATTACTGTGATCCCTGGTAGAACAGTTTCAGAGTGGTGTGGTATACGGAAAGAAATTATATTTGAAGTAATTAGTTTTGGATTTGAAGAGTTAATACATACTGATAGGGATGAGAGGATCAATAAAAGTGACTCGAGACTCATGTATGATAATGGGTCTATAACAACAAGTTGCTCGTCCATCTTGTATAGCATACTTATTCTGTTGATGTTACAACACTTGATTATTTTACTTCTACAGGTGACGAATGGTTCTTGCAAGTTTGCAGAAATGTTTTCAAATGGAAAAGCTGATATACCTAATGGACATCCTACTACCACAGAAGTGGGTGGTGGAAATAAAAAGGACAATTGATACAGACACTGTATATATACCAGTCTTTCTTCATTTTCTAATTTATACAAAAATCAATCACTTGGCACAATAAAGATTTATCCAACAGAAATTGTCCCTGTCAAGAATTACTAAAAAAATCTAGAGCCTGCTGTATATTCCTTCCACGTGTGACATCATGAGTTGATCAGCAATATATCATACCGAGAATGGATCATTACACACCAACATTTATTTCTACATCATTGATTCTGAGCTGTCAAACTTGACCACTACACAGTGTTGGACATTGGGACTGGACTAATTGATAAAGGATATCATTCCTCAACAAATTCAAATCAGAATTTCAATTTGCATTTGTTGAAAGAGTACATTATTGCCAAGGAAAAGAGTTTTAATTACTTAGCAGACAATTTTGTGTCGAAGTTTTTTTAAACAGATTTTAATTGAAAACAAAATTAAGAAAATCTTAAATATTTCCCACAGAAAAAAGGTTTAAATACTAGATACAGAAATAGTATTTTGTAAAAGCAATATTGAAAATATACTTCGTTAAGAAAAGCATTAACTTATAACTGAATCGTTGACCTGCATTCTGTAGTATCTGGTCAGACCTCATTTTAAAAAATACTCGAAACAAACCCGGATTTGCAGTTTAACAATGTGACTAATATATGTTTGCAAGTATTACCATGCAGCAGATGATCAGTCTATCGGTGTATAAGTACTTCAAATAACAAGACAAGTCATGTTCTCTAAAACCAATTATTTTACCTTGCATAGCTCAAAGTGTCAGTGATCTTGTGGTAATTCTGGTATTTTGAAAAAAAAAAATCTAGGAAACTAAAGCAACTTGATGCAATATTTGGCCAGGAGATAATCAGCGATAGAATAAATTTCTTGTTTTGTAAATTTTATCATGTAAATGACCTTAATCTATAAAACTCCCAGTCCTGATATTTTGCTAATATGTACCTATGGATTAAGTGCTATAAAGTTCCCTCATTTGAATAATGAAGGGCACTGGCCTATTTCTAGGTCACTAGGTTTAAGTATATCAAAGTCCTTTAAGAATCTCCTGAAGTTTCAGATGACCAAGGGGACTAATAATTTGCCAGTAGGTACATTCCTTGGAGTTTTCTCAAAGAAGTGACATCATTTCAAGGTTATACAGGTCTGATTTGTTGAAAAAAAATGATAAAAAACAGAGTTTTTCTGGTAAATTTTGAACATAACTTTCATAACTTGTTATCGCAATACATTTACATTTGCTTATGTCAGAATTATCGTTAAATGCTGAACCAAAAAAAATAAAATACAATTAACCAATATCCTTAGTACATTGATCTCCTTTGAGAACTGTTCATCTTAAAACATAATGATCTGATAGAAAATTGCTTGAATTTAAAGGGGTTTTACTCGAGGTATGAAGAATATTTCAGATATGGTTCTATATATTTCATATAAGCAAAGATCTGTGATGCTGCACCCCTTCATCAATCAACCACAGGTATGTGGTTGATAGATATCATCCATCACTTCACCACACCAGATCAGTGTGTTTGGTTAATTTGTACATATACCCCAGTAAAAGTCTGTTACATGGACAAGGTAAAATGAATTACTTGTAATGAAACAACCATTTATAATAAAACATATTCTATTGTTAACAGGGAATGTGATAAGTATATGCATCTTCTAGATTATACAGTATTTCTATTGCAAGGTAAATGTTTTGTTCTGTGTATGATATAGGAGATAATATTCAAGTCATAAAGATCTACGCTATGTGGAAAATAGACATATTGTGTATTTAACTGAATTTGTTGTACATTTTTTTAGTTGTGAAAATAAAATATTCCAGAAGTGTTGATAGAGTTCAGTATTCTGTTGTTTGTAGTCTAGATTTAGTCATCAATGTGAAAGTAACACAAATATATATTTAAAGTCATAATTGGAGCCATCCTTGATACTCCAGGGGTTACAATCACTTTAGCTCTCTGCACCCTGGTACATAACATGGGAAATTGAAGGCACAAGCGAAGTAATTTGATTGGTTCCAGGCTGATATGCTCCTGTTAAAGATTACAAAAATAGCCACTCCCAACTTAAAGCCATTACATGTTTCAGGGGTGCAAAGAGCAAAGGTAATCGTAGCCCCTTGAGTATCGAGGATGAATTGAAGCTCGCACAAAATTTCTGAATTTTAGCTTAAATTTATCAGATAGCTCCCCTAATTGACATTGCTGGCATCGATCACACTGCAAAATGTTTAAAGTTTTCTTAACAAGATTCCAAGTGGCAATAGACAGATGATTATTAAATAGTTTAAGCGTTATTATGAATTCTTAGCAATATGCTGAACAAAAGTTGTCATATTTATGGGGCACAAAAGGAGTGTTTCTGTTTGTGAATTTTTGACAAGTTCTTATTGATGGCGAAATCAACCAAATATTCGAGATTGCAATTAAACTGAATTTAAACCAATCTATCACAAGATATGGAGAATCTTGAATGTAAATTTTGCAAACTCTTTTCAACATAAACTAGCAAGAGATCTACTTGTCAATAGATGTGTGTGTTCAGTTTTGATGCTAATATGATGAATATACCTGATTGTTTTGACACTCTTAAATTTACCATTTTTCAGCAAGCTTCAAATTTGTGTCATTTTCAATAAGTTGTCAGTTTTCAATATGCATAACAAGCAAAGGTATCAAATAATTCCATTTCTGTTCTGTTATCAGCTTATATTTATTTTTGTCCGATTCATATTAATCAGGCATGTAAATTTCTGGCAAAGACTCTTTGTTTCTGCCTTTGTTGAGCTGTTGAAATGATAAGAAACCCAATAATTTCTTCAGCTTTTCAAATCGCCCTGTGTCTTTGGTCTGTCCAATTTTTGTTATCCATATTCTTGAGAAGTACTGAATGGATCTTTCTTAAATTTTATATATAGGTTCTCCTTGGGTCCTATTTGTGCCCATTTGATTTTGGGTCTTATCAGAAAAATAAAATGGCAGAAAGGTGGCCATGTTGGACTTTGACTTTGAAAGTTTGTTATCACTATTTCTTGAGAACTACAGCATAGATCTTTCCAAAATTTCCTATGTATGTTTCCTTTGATCCATAGTTGTGCCTGTTTGACTTTGGTACTGGTCACAAAAACCACAAACAAAAAAAAACCGAAATGGCCCACAAGCAGCCATCTTGGATTTTGACTTCGAAATTTATCACTATTTCTTAAGAAGTACTGTATAGATCTTTCTCAAATTTCATGTATAGTTTCCTCTTGGTCCCATGTGTCTGGTTGAGTTTTGGACCGATCAGTAAAACAAAATGGCCAACAGGCATCCATCTTAGATTTCACCTAATAAAGATTGTTATCCCTATTTCTTAAGAAGCACTGAATGGATATCTCTCAAATTTTCATCTGCATGATCCCTTTGGTCTCTCCTTGTGTCCACTTGATTTTGGGACTGATCAAATCCAATGGCTTTCCAGGCGGCTATTTTGGATTATCATTGCAACTTCTGCAAAGGAATGTTCAAAAGTCTTATCAATAATAGCAAAAACTGAGAAGAGAAATGAAGGGTAAAGATCCAACTTTCAAAGAGCAAATAAAGATCAAACAATGGTTGTTACCAAGATCCTTCCGGGATCTCTTGTTTTTATACGCGAGAGTCTCTTATGGAACAAGTGCTGATGTCAGACCTTTGTGTCATTTCTTTTTAAATCAAGATCTATGAACAGAACAGGGTTACAGATAGGTGTTACTGAAGGGTATAAAGCAACAATACTTTTCCTGACTGTCATCATCGTATGTTGCTTATAACAAATTTATTTTGACATACCAGTATTTAGTTTGTAGTCTAAAGGTCAGTTAGTGCATTTTGTAGAACAAACAACAATCATTTACTGAAAGTCATTTTTCTGTTCAGAACAATCACCAGTAGACACATGTACAAGTTTTTTCAATATGGCTGCTGTGGCTGAATTGTGAATGTGACATGGGTTTAAATTTCAGTTGGGACAAAGTAGACTGACTAACCACAGCAGCTCTCTGTGAAAACCTATACCAGAGACCATTGGACAGGTTTAAATTGTATTTATAATATAGCATCAACCCATCAAGGTGTAAAACTAATTACATTTTGGTGATCAACAGCTTAGTTAAAGTCAAGAGGTTCATGAGACCTAATATCATTCAACTGGTTGAGTTTGCTGAAATTGCTTCAACTAAACTAAATCTTCTTAATTTAATTTAATCTTAAATCTTCATTTGACCTGAGCATGCTTTTGACCGAATTGGAAGAGAATACAGGCAATCCTACAGAAGAATCAGCAATTTAAAACCTTTCTCCATTTACACATTGGGCATCACCCCTCCATCCTCAGAAAGCCCAGATCTACAGTTTCTACAAATTTGATTTCCCTTCGCCCAGGGATGATTCAGACTAAACAGTGACAGAATCCAGGCATGCCTACAGAAAACAAGGTAATACCAACATGTCAACGATCGTAATCCAAACTCACTCAATATAACTAGTGCAAAATATATACAAAATAAAAGAAAGATTTATACAGGCTCCAGAAAAAGTACATAGAGAGTAAGTCCTCTGCCTCATTGACAACACTCGCCATGTAAACCTTGGTCAATCCAAGTAAGTAATGTCAGGTTCTCAAATGAGAACAAGGTATACAATAAAGAAGCCAGCAGGCAAACTAACAAGCATCAAACATGCCCAGCTTCTTATTGCACAAGGAAATATAATATTTCTCAATGAGATTACTAAAACAAATGTAAAACTTTCCCATAAGTTTCATCTACCTGTATATTTTGAAACACTGTGTTGTGAGTTTATTCTTCAATTGATAGCTTCTTCCATGTAAATTGTGATAATGGGAACAGGATTTTGAATATATAGGTACATGTAAATACCATAGGTTGAGGATGCTGGGATGTCGCTATCCCGAAATGGGAAATTCAAGATAGAGAAATTGAAATCACATTTATCATGCATCATGGTGGAAAGTTGTCCATGTTGGTTTTGTTGCAAGAAAAGACAAAGATAAGCAGCTGGTGTAGAAGAGTCAAGAACACAAATTTTAGATATTTGCTCTTTTTAACATATTAGACCTCATCCAAAAGGGCCTACATCCACCGCCCATGCAAAATTGCTTCCCCTTCACACAAGGGTGCTTCAGATCAAATTGGAAAATAATCCTGGCATTCCCACAGACGAAGTAGGATTTTACAGAGTTCACTCTATTTCCAGAATTGGGTCAACCTCACAGGGCCAAGACCAATCATTTCTACAAAATTGTTTTTCCATCACCCAAGGATGCTTCAGACCAAGTCAGGACAGAATCCAAGTATTCATATATTACACCAAAAGATGCTTCAAACCAAATTTTGACAAAATCCAATCCCTTTTTGGGTCGCACCCAGAAGACCATTTATACAAAGTTTGTTCCCCTTTCTCTAAGAACGCTTCTGAACAAATTAGGTAAAATTTCCCCAAGTCCTTTATGTCTTGAAGCAATACCAGTCCTTCAAACCAGGTGAGCTAAAAATGCAGGTTGTGGGTATATGAGCTTGTCCTCACCTTCTTTTTATAAGTGAAAACCAGAAAGTAAATTCAAGTGATAAATTTTTTAAAAAGATGGCTACTGAACAGGACTGTCCTGGAATGGGCTTGGTTTAAAAAGTAATATTGACTTAAATACAACTTAATTTTGAAAAGCCTGTCTTACTATATGTACTACTTTCTGTTCAGTCAAAGAAGCAGTAACAACATTGGGAAATGGCAGCAATTTTCAATGAGCTTTGGCTCATCACCCCATAATCAGTGAAGGTCATTTTGGATTTTAACAATGAAAGTTTGTTATGGAAATTTCTTCAGATGTACTGGACGGATCTTTCTCAAATTCACACATATCTTAGTCTTATTCCCTAGACGTGACCTTTTGATTTTGGAACTGACCAGAACTAACAAAATGACTTGATAGGCAACCATCTTGGATTTGATAGAGGAAATTAGATAAAGGAAAGGATTAAACTTTTAAAGAACATATAAAGATCAAACAATAAAGGGTGGTAAGATCCCTCTGGGATCTCTTGTAATGATATTCTAATAACTTTTAATACATGACATGTAATATTACTGCTTGTTTGCTCCCATTACATATATCTAAAACCATTGAGCAGAGAGACTGTCTTTGATGTCATGTTTAGTGTTGCGTTTTGATCGTGTCACAATGGCGGCTTCCCCCTTCTTCCTGATACGCCGGGCCTGTAACTTCTCATGCTTCTGCTTAAGTTGTCTCTTCATCTTCTCTTTGACAATCTGAGGATCCATTGTGGAGGTATTACTGGACATACTGAGGGAACTCCGCTGTCTTGTGTTGGACAAGTGGAAGTTAGTGTGTTCCATACTTTCCTCATTTCTAAAAGGTTTGTAGGCTCTGTTAGAATGACTTAAGTCCTCTAATGCTTCGTTTTCCTCTTCACTCAAGACTTCATCTGATAATCTATCATTTACTTCGCTATCTGACAAAAGTTCATCTTTTGTCTCAGACTTCGAATCTGTTAGACGTTCTTCATCACAGTTCCCACACGCCCCAGAATCCTTATTTGCTATATTTTCAGTAAAAGATTCTGTCACATCCTGTGGAGGTTCTGCTTCCAGGTCATCTTCTTCCTCATCATCAACTTCATCTTCCTCACACTCATCTTCCTCATCCTTTATTTCTGTTTCATCATCTTCATCTACTTCCTTCTCTGAAGACTCTGGTCCTTTCAGGATGTTTAGCTCCTCAGCAGCCTAAATAGGAAGGCAAACTCAATTAAAATGCATAAGTAATTTGGTTCAGGTTTTATAAAACCAGACATATTCAGTATAATCTGTAATTACTGTGTATATTTTCTCCACTTCTCAATATCATACAGATTAAACCATCACATACATAGAAATAACCCTCATTGTAGAGCTAATTGGAAAACTTAATCATGACACATTTAACCAACAAATCCAATTAACAGTAAACTGTAGTTAAATTCAGGATCTGAAGTATGTGTTGGGATGGTCATATATAGATGTAAGTATATTCTAGGTCTGATTATAACAGTTGAAATACTTTAAAAATAAAACTTAACACAAAGCTAAAGAAACTTCAACATGGCCTACCAGAAATTAATCTACAAAGTCCAATTTTAAAACAGTAACCTGTGGGTGCAAATCATAATCTCAAATGTGTGTTGGTATGATCAGACATCAATATAGATATTTTCCAGGTTTAGTTATAACAGCTTAGAAAATTCTAGAGAGATATAAGCTCAAAATCGAGTAAAATGTAAAACTTCAACATGGTCCAATTAGTAAACAAATTAATTCTGAATCTCAAATATGTGTTTGGACGGTTATTTATAGGTTAAGTATATTGTGTGTTTCGTTATGATAGCTTATGTACTTTGAGAGAAATTAAGCTCAATGTGGAGCTAACTGCTAGACTTTTATTTGACACAATTAATTAATGTAGAATTAATTGTCAACAGTATGTTAAAGTCTTCAATGAAAAAAGGTATGGAGATGCTCTTTCTTATATATAAAACCACAACTGACAGCACTTGTATTTAACACAACAATCTGGAGCCATCTTCAACACCACCAGAAAAGTAATGCCTGTCTTGCTTAGTGACTACAACACAAGCAACATAAAAATTATTTTATTTATCATACTTTACACCCAATATTGTAAAATACTTCATATTAAGTTTGTATTACAACAAATTCTGTTATCCGCTATATTGTGTTTGATTCCAATTCCAATTTATATACATACCTCATCAAATGTGCTGGACATTTCTTTAGTAAAACCACTGGCAGACACCTCAACATCTAGATTATCATCACGTCTGCAATAATGTTATATCTCAGACTTAAAATCTTTAAATACCAGTTCTGATGCCACTTAATAATCAGAAGACCTATCTATAAATCTTTAAGGAAATGTATTTATATATTAATATTCAACTTTAATCTAATGTTCTTTATTTTTCTTAAGCTTTAAAAATGTTAAAAAAATGAATAATAAACAATTAAAGTAGTTTAGATTAAGGAGTAGGGATAATAACATCAGTCAACACAATGAATTAATTGTAGTTTATATATTGTAGACTAGGTATATATATATATATCAGATATAAGTACCTTAGGTCTGAAAACTTGGGGTAAAGTTCACTTTCATAGTGAAAACGCCTGGCAAAGAATTCACGTATGCAACGTACATCCCTGTTGAAGTACCTGTGAAAATATAATATAAATATTTACACTTTGTTACTTTTCAATTATCTTGTTGCAAACTTTATTAGGAAGTCCTGCACCAGAATTTATCCGAATAATTAAGTATTACTCTATCTTGTGAATCATAAATCTCGCTAGATATCACTGACTAAGTGCAGGACAGAATGTCATCCTTGTAGTTCATTTTTCTCAATAAAACAAAAACTTGAACAGCTATAAATTCGGCACAATATATTGAAAGATGTGATTCATCTATTACTTTTTTGAAGAATGCAATAAAATAATGGAAACATTGGTAGACTTGATATTGTCAACTAACACAATATCAATTTGAAAAAAGCTTGCTCTGTTCATACTCACCACTCTGCATTGAAGTGGGAGGTTGAGATCATCTGTGGGAAATCATACATTGTCACTGATCCATTATCGTCCACCATCAGATTAAACTCGTTGAAGTCACCATGTATGACCCCACAGTTTCCCAGTCTGACAATCAGTTCCATACAGTCATTGTACACCTGAGCCGGGTCTGACAACTCGCGTACCTGGCACCTACAATGATATAGTATAAATTACAGGTGAGACAACTATGTACCTAGCAACTGTAGAAACATATTTACAAAGGAGACAACCTTTTTACCTGACACCTACAGAGACTAATATTCACATGATAGACGATATCTACAAGGCGCCTGTAGAGAGAAGTAATTACTGGTGAGACAACTTATCTACCAGGCACCTGTAGGGACAAGGTATTAGCAGGTAAGACAAACACATGTACCAGGCACCTGTAGGGACAAAGTATTTACTGGTGAGACAACTTAAGTACATGGAAACTTTCAGTTGATCATTCAGTTGAAAACGTGATTGAATTTGATCAATAATTTAACAATTATGAGAAAAATTATTTATAATAAGTTAGTGTATTGAAATTAGAGGTACAAGGTGCCTGAATTGCTCTCCTTTCTGAAGTTTATACAGAAGACATTGTCTATTACTTTTTCAAAAGAAGAACTGTTAAGTTACTTATGCAGATCAAGGTCGATCATCTGAACAAACTTGGTAGCTGCTTATCCCAGGATGCAACAGGGCCAATACAGGACCCTTGACCTTTTTGTGGTTGAGAAGAAGTTGCTTGACAGGAAAAATTAATGCTTGACAGATCATGGATGTCATACCACAACATATGTTCACTTGCCTTTCAGGCAAATGAGCTAATGATAATAGACAACACTTACAATGGATGTCCACTCAGCAACTCCATGATGACAGTGTGGCGGTTGAAGTCTTCTGGTTTGGGAACGGGAAACTTTCTGTCATACAGGGCCTGAATATGTCAATGCTAACACAGTTTATAACATATCATAATAGCTTAATTTTCTAGTAGTATCAGCTTAACAGTAGACTTCACCTGTTCCCTGTATATTTCTTTCATTCATAAATAGTATTCGACACTTATGGTCACCGAGTACATAATGCTGCTGGTCTTGAACTCATACTTAATACACACCAAAATATTGGTAATGTAATTTATACAGGAAGTAAGATAGTAGGGTGAACACTGCACTATCCTTCATCATGACTGTAGACTGCACCCTGACTCTAGAATATTAAAATCATAAGTAAAATTAAGCTGTATACCTTGGGTCTCTTAGACATGTCTGATTCAAGATTCTAAGTTTCAAACTAGGGGAGATAAGGAATTTAATGGAGAAATTCTTTACTTAACTACTGGGCTGGTAGCCAGTATAGACAGCCTGGTTCTCTAACAATAAAATAAATAGGAATCACCACATGAAGGGGGTTTCCACCTTGTATTATGGCCAAAGTGTTCCATCATCTAAACTTACAAGAATTATTGACTTATATATATATATAACTGATTCCAGTACAGTGGTGAAACAAATAATTTTTAAATTTAAAGACATAGGTATGAATGATTTACCTTCATGTAAGCAAACTCCTTCATGGCAGCCAACCTGGACAGGTAGAGCCAGGAGGCATTCTTCCTGTGCTTGTGATAATCCCTCTTGTTTTTTAACTGTCGAAATGATGTACGTCCCAACCTATCAACAGAAATTGTCAATATGAATGTACAGCATAATATGTATCTATGTCTGTAAACCTAATTCAGTTCTTAAGATGTTTGGAATGTGTGCTCCTTTGATGATTCTTCTTTACACTGTCTAATTCTAAACTTTTGTGCACTGAAAATATTTCCCTGCATCCATTATAAATCAGTGACAATTTTCAAAATGAAAATTACTTCATAATTATTTCACAATCATTGCTGACCTAAATGTATCAATAATCATAGCAAAACTTTCTTCCCTAAATTACATTAATGTTATATCATATAAAGATTTTTCCCTTTTTTGGGTCTGGCTATCAACATTTTTCATTATCCATAACACATATTCAACTGGAAAACATAGTCAAACTGATATTTCCACAATTGTGTCTTGGTAACCTCTCTTTGGTAACAAGAGACTGCAGGGTGGAACAACATGTGTCCAACTCATGTCAAAGAAATAAAACAAAGGGAAACTACTCTTCCCATAATTGTAAAATCACAGACCATTAAAGCAAGCACAATTTCATACAAAAAAGTAGAAAAGTAATATGAAAAAAACCAATGAACAATAACTCCTTTACAAATAGGGTCCAGACAAACCTTTTCTGTGATATAGCCCAAAGGCCAAAGCGCTCGTCACTGTCAGTGACCTACTTTTCATATACAACAAAATGTCACTTTCGGGTAAACCCACATCTATAGCATGAAGTTTCTGTGATTAGTACTGTAAGAGATAGGATTTGGAGATGTACATTAAAGGTCAAAATGTAGGTTAAAGTGATCTACTTTAGATATGCAAAATACTGTTTTACCATGATGAACCCATATCCCAAGTATAAAGTTCCCTGTGACTAGTAGTGTGGAAAAAAGAGCCCAGACAAACCTTTTCTTTGATGTAAGCTAAAGGGTGTAATGTTCCTCACTTAGAGTGACCTACTTTTCAAATGCAACAAACTGACTCACCAGGGTGAACCTTATAAATTCTGTCTTACCCACAGAAGTAGGGCCTAACCTTTTTTCAAAACAGGTTCTTCTTCACCTAAAGATGCTCCAAACCAAATATAGTCAAGATGAAGAGGTAGACTATTTGCAGTCACACAAATCATGATTTTTACTAAATTTAATCCTACCTGTGTAATTTCATGGCATATTGGTGATCCTCCTCATCAGCCACAATGTAGAGATCTATAAGAAAAACACATCAATCTATAACAGTTTTAGAATAATTCCTACCAAGGTTTATATGTACCATAATATCTCATTAATAATTCAACTTTAAGAAGACATCAATGAAAACTAGAAAAAAAAACAGTTCACCAATCTTAGGGAAAAAGTCAATGACATGTCCACTCTTCCCAAGTATGAATGAGCGGAGCTCAAAGTTTATCTCTTTAACAATGAAATGATACACTGGAATAAAAGAGCAATAAATTTTAAGATTTGCCATCCAGAAAAGAACACTTATTAGTTATCCACAAAATTAAATATATTTCATCATGCTCTTACTCATAAATTAGTTAATTTTGGTTGAAAATGTCATTACTGGTTCTGTGGCTGTTTAAGAATGTAAAATAATCATCATGTTAAAATACATTTTCTCAAACCTGCTGATAGAAGCATATCCCTATAGATAAGAAACAGAAATTCACAAAACAAATTACCAGACTCCTTTCCAACGCCAATCTGGTTGCCAACAGAATGGATGATTCCACGACTTGTTAAGGCTTTCAGTGCCAGGTAGTCATAGCCACTATTGGTCAATCTGTAGCCATTCTCTAAAAACAGTCAAATAAATAGTAGTTATGAATACAATACATATTAAATATGACCATGGGTATCATTGTTTTAAAAAGAATTTTAAAATAAGTACAACATGACATGTCATACACGAAGACAAGATGCCCAAGGGACCTGTATCACTCATTTTACTGATTCAGTTTTCTAGTCATTTAATAAAGAATTTGCAATATGCCGAAAAACTTATGAAAAAATTTCCCTATTGGATCCACTTTACCCAAGTATGCTTCAGACCAAATTAGAACAAAACTCTGAAACTTCTACAGAAGAAGAAGGATTTTGAAGAATTTGCTGTATTTTCCCTATTGGGCCCTACCACTCTCGCCCCAAGAGACTGAGATCTATCATTTATACAAAATTAATTACCCTACATCCGAGAAATGCTTCAGACCAAATTTGGGCAATATCCATTCATTCCTACAACAGGAGTGAGATTTTAAAGGACTTCTGAAATTTCATCTTTTCAGCTCCGAGATCTTCCCTTCAGGCCCCTTGGGGTTGAGAACCCACATATATAAAAACTTTGTTCCACTTTCCCCAAGGATGCTTCTGACCAAATTCAGTCAAAATCTGTTCAGTTGTTCATTACAAGTTCCGGGTAGCAATTTTTATTAAATGCTGATGAATGCTGCACCATCGACAGAGTGCCATGGCATAAGGTTACTGGTCCTTCAGATGAAGTGAGCTAAAAACTGTAAGATACTTAATTTGAACCAATCAGGTTGAAATTTAAATGTGTTCAAATTTTCGATGTTTATAAATTGAGGAATCTTCGTTCTGAAATATTATCTTTTTGAGATTTTATTTTTTGAACAAATGAAAAATATTAATGTTTTTAATCAATGTGGGCTACATCTTTAAATATCTACACAAATTTCTTAGTTCTTAAATCACATATAATATAATAAGGAGTAAGAATGATAACATTTCTTTTAAACATATTCGACAGGTATTTGATATGTAAATGAAGTGAAACTTTAAATGACACAGGAAGTAACACAAATTAGTAAATTACAATGCTTATTGACTGTTTAAAATTGTTGTAATATATTTTAAAGACAAACCTTTTTTGCCTTGATGTTCATAACACACCAGTTTGTGTTTGGCAAGCTCTTTCAATACTTTGTGACATCCACCAGCATGTAAATGTGCAATGGAAGCCACAAGAGGAGAAGGGACAATCTCATGATTTTTCATACCCATTTCAACCTGAAATGTTAAATACAAATATGACATGAAAAATGAAGTGTACAGGTGTGCAAAAATTGACTACAAAGCAAAAAGTTGTTGCAGGTAACATATGATATAGGAAGGTATCTCGTTTAATAAGCATTACAATCATATGATCAGTTGTGAAGTGTATATGATAGGTGTCTGTTGCTATGGAAGTTCATTGCACATGTAGCACATTGTATCTGTAAGTTTATTCACAATATTTATACATGTGTATACTTGAATTGAAATACACCACAGTGTTCTGGAACTACATATTGTTTTGAAAACCCTATTTATCACATAACTGGCTTGTTGCATCATGCCATAAGCTTTTGTCATGAGTACCTTTGGATAAATGTGCAGTAACACTTTTGTGATGTCAGGACTAAATCATGATTTGATGATTTCATATAACCACCTAATGAAACTATAACAATCCAGTAAAAAAAAGATCATCTTGTAGGGAAATATATACAAGAGTTTTCGTTTACTTTTCAGAAATAAATTGTGCCACAGTAATATGGTATTAATTTGATATTTCACATGTCACTTGCCTAAAAGCCATGATGCCAAGCAATTTTACTAATGTATACCAGTATATTGCATTCAATAAAAGACAAATAGATGACTGAAAATACTAAGAGTCTCAGTCTTAATGTAAGTAAGTGTTCTTACCTTTAAACTTATATACTTCAGTGTAAGAGCCTTACTCTTATAATATCAGGTACTGGAGCAATAGAAAATCTGGCTATACATATAGTTAGATTTGGCTGTATAGTATAATCTGACTATATGTATATATAGAGCAAATGTAAATATACAGATGTGGTCCAGTCACAGTTCTTTCATGCTGATTGAAAATATGGATGACGAATCATGTAAGTCAATGAAATTAATGTTTTTGGCATATTTTTTTAATATCAGACAATTTTTACTTAATTTCAGTATTACATATTTTCAGTATCCACATAAACTCGCTATTTCATAAACTCTATTGTGAGTTTATCCAATATATATGGCATTATTTGCTTCTTGTTCATCTATATATAAGCAGATTCAGGCCACATGTGCTCTTTTAGCAAGTTTCCATGCATAAAATTTGTAACCCACAATGAATATGAATTGTGTTGTGGAAGAAAGTGATATATAAGTAGTTTTTATAAGAATCAAGGAAATTTCATGTCTTGTCATCAAGATATGTGAGTAATGGGATTAAAGTACCAAAAATGGCAACGATGAAATTCAACGATGTCAGGAATTTTCGTACTGAAGAATTTTCATCTGAGGGGAATTTTCGTCTCGGGTAGTTTCGTACTAACTATTACATAGCACTATGGATATAGATAGATAGGGTGTCAACAACCAATTATAACACCCTCCGCTGTGTTGATAATAGAAATTTGATGTTTTAGAAGTTTATACAATGATTTGACTGGTTTTTACCCAAGTACTGGTACACGTCTGTTGTTAGCCGGTGAAACCTCCTCACAAATGCGTAATGAAAACAAAACAACACATTGATCATGTTAACAATCTTAAATAATTAACTAAAACAACATCGTCTGCTGGAAGGTCTAAAAACCATATACACCTTATACACACAACATACACACATAACCTATTCTATAGTACTACTATATAATAGTAGCACGAAACTTCTCAGGACGAAAATTCCCGGGTCATACTAATTTAAGCCTAGAGACATATTTTAAGCCCAGAGAAGCCTAGGAGCGCCTAGGGGTAATTAGAATGTTAATATATCATTTTATTATTTCTAGATAACATTTTAAATGTTTTCATATTGAAAAAATTAAGTTTCATGCAAAGAAAGTGTAATAAAACATGAATATTCTACAAGAAAACTGGCCACATCTCATACAAGGGAGATAACTCTTATAGCAAGTTTTGGCTAGGCTTACAATGCTGTGTGTACATTAGTCAATAATAATTAAGTCTAGGTGTTGATAGAACTATGAACTTGATGAATTGCTTACATCTTAATCACATGACTTCAGTTTTAAAGATCACAAAATATTATTATAACTATACAAATTGGTGTACTAGGAAAATAATTACATTGTCAATTTCAAAAAGATTGATAACTTTTAAAAATTATCGAAAATAAAACTGTAGATTCTGTTTATATATATATTTAATCAAATTCATTAATTTTTTTAGAAATCACAAAATCTGATTAGAATGATAAGAACTACGAATTGGTGTACTAGGAAAATAATTACATTGTCAATTTCAAATAAGTTATTGTAGATTCTAGTTTATATAAATGTTTAGCTTTTCAAACTGAAATACATTCATAATAAACACTAATAGTGCAAAGTGTATGTACTTTAGAACTGTAGTAAACATTGTTGACCCCTGACCTACACTGGTGTTTATGTGTGTCAATATGGCGGACATCGTGCGCCCAGAGAGTACAGCATATAATGTTTGAATATTTGGGATTTGGCAACCCATATGATATCAAATGTATCTATAACTTCATTGAAAAGGAATGTTTCTTTGTCACATTACATATTTTAAGCAATATATTACTAAACAAGGCCCTAGGCGTCCCTAGGCTTCTCTAGGCTTAAAATATGTCTCTAGGCTTAGATTAGTATGACCGAAAATTCCCGGGACCAATTCAACTAAAAACTCACTACGATAAAAATCGCAACCAGGTGTGATTAAGATGTTTCCATATGCCCTATAGCCAAATTTGCCTACAGATATATGATGCAGCAAGATTTGCCGGTGCTCCAGTACCTGAATAAGTGAGTGCTCTTACCCTTACACTAATAAACAGGTCTAGTTCGTGTTTTTGTTACAGTATATTTGTGTCGTAAAATGTCATTTACAGATTGGCATTGGTGTTGTCAAATCGGTTTGGCAGTGACTACAGTTCCTTTGAAATGAATCATTTGCAATGAAGAATGTCGTATAAAAATAATACATTATAGATACTTACAGAAGTTAATACTCTGAAATCTTCTTTGGTTAAATATCTCAAAATCGACACATTTAATTTCCCCATTTTGGAGTTACTTCACGTGGGGAGATTCCTTTCGGAAGTTCTCTTAAGTGTTAATAAAGAAAGAATACGTCTGGAAATTTCCGCTTTAGCCGAAGTTTCGTAGAAAAAGAAAACTAGTCGATAAACATACAATTAATTTTTCTTTCTTTTATTTATTTTTGTTCATAATCGTACATTGTATCCACGTATTTCCAATAACTTATGAAAACATAATAGAGAGTTCTTTAATTAATCATTTTTTTTTCAATTTTATAATCTGAAACCTCTTTTGAAAAGTAGGTCAGGTGAAAGGTCACACATCTCTTGTTATGATGGTTGATCGTTTGACAGCTGATGTGTTCGCATTCAATACTACAATGTAACAGAGGAGGGAATTCTTATGAGAGATAGAAGGATTTAAGCAAAATGGGAGGTTGTTGTTCAGCTCAGGTAAATTATTTACTTTAATTTCGATAAACATCCTAAGTTTATGTTTATATGTTATTGCCGCGCCATTTGAAAAGTTGTTTGCCAAGGTGTGGCGAATTCCAACAACTTTGGCATAGCTAGTGTACAATACACATGGCATGCTTTTGATATGCCGGTGTTTATTACGTGCCTTATATACCCACGTACTAAGACATGCAGTTTTGTACGTTCTCACTGTTCAGCAGTTCAACAATGTCTAGCTTACTGTACGATATTATCGAATGTTCACATATTTTTTAATATTCATTTATATTGATTGCTAAAAATTTGGATTAAGGTCTCCGTATAAATGATTATGCTTACATGTACAATATATACATCTTAGTTGGTCTTACTCAATAGTTTTTCATTAGTTAAATGTTTCCCTTTTCTTGAGGTATGTTTTGATTTTGCCTCTTTCATGATCTTACTAATATTACTACTCAATTGTATAGATTCCAAATTTTTGACAACAGATAGTTGGGTACTGTATATTTCAAAATAGAAGATACAAAAATGTAGGCCTAATTAATAGGTTTAGAATTCCTTTGAATGAAATCTTACCAATAAATATATATGTATATTTTTAAGGTTTTGTTTAAGAATTTCATTTTTTTTTTCATGAGTGCCAGAATTACTGTTTCTGATAAGTGACTAAAACTTAACTAAAAGAGATGTGAAAATCAAGGAAATATACTGAATTCCAAAATGAATACGCTTTTTGAAGGAGCTCCCAATTCAATCAATATAAATGGAATTCAGACTTCATTATATATATACATATATTGTAACAGAGGTAATTATTCATTTCAATGCCACTGCTTGGATTCGAACCCAGGTCCCCAGGCTTACTAGTCTAACGCTCAACCAATCATGCTAAATAAGTTCTCTCAAACATAGCAGTAATATTGCCACTTATGGATTATTTCATGGTCTGTATTTCTATTTTTTCAATTTGGAAAATTTTATAGTACATTTTCTTTATTCTGCCCTACTCTGAACCTTTTTCACTCTCTTTACAAGGAGAATTGATATCAAGTACTGATTTAAAATCTCATAATCAGAATATGGCTATGTTTATAATTGATTGTGAAAATTTCATTTCATTGTAGCTGAAATGTTGGTGTGGACCAGCTTCTTGTGGGCTCTGTTGTCGAAAATGTCCCCCAGTCACGGAATCGACAGGAACACGCATAATGTATTCTATTTATCTGGTTACGGGATTTATCATCGCCTGCCTTATGCTATCCCCACAAATCAAGAACTTAGTCATTGATAACGTAAGTCAGACTCATACCCTCATACTCATATTATAAGTATTTATTTTCGAAGGATAGTAATTCTTTTTCTGTACATACATGTCATAAATAATAGTGTAATTGATTACAAAAAGACACATGCACAATACAAATATACAGTATGTAGATTTCAATTTTTTTTTCATCATATATGGAACCACTGATTTCCAAAAGGAAGAATCTTGGAAAACTTAGAAGCAAATTTTCATCTGATATCTGCACATGTTGGGACTTATGTACTTAGATGTTTGATAATTTCATTTGGAATGGGGCCCACATACATCAACAACATGCATTGACTGTAATAAATTGATCCTAGCAGACATAAAACAAAGACTGTGGTACAAAGCTGAACTCATGACATAGTACAGGAAATGTCAGTTAATTATAGTGCTAAACTCTCACATCCTAGGAAAATAATGGCTGCCATTGTGGAAAAGTATGCTCCCTCTTCATGTTCATTTGTGTGTGCAAGCAGGGACATCCCTGGTGTAAGTGTAGAAAACAAGGTCAAGTCATTAGAGATGGCTGTACTATGTGAAAATTAATATTTAAGCACTAAATAGGAAATCTGACACATCCCTCTGTTCATAACATACAGTACCGCCCAAACTATGCTCCCATAATGGTTTGTCTTCAATATTCTCAAGTTTCTCTTGTAAATGATGTAGGTCAGTGAATGTTGAAAATGATAAAACATCTTGAAGTATACAGATTTATGAATAAATCAATATTACAAATAATTTCACTACATACATTATTTTACATATTAGAGAAAAATCTCAAAGTTGATACACAGAAAAATAGAGATAAGATTACAAATACTTTCATTCACAGATTTAAAAAAAAAAGAAATCTTAAGTTGATGTAAAATATAGTGATACTGTACAACTTTGAATATTGAACATAAATATTTGAGTAAGTGAAAAATGTATGAATAATTCGAATTGAAACATTTTGTTGAATTACATCTATATTGGTTAGTACTTGGCACCTACCAGTTGGTCACAGTCAGCTGACCAGATTTCTGACACCCCTTTGATTGGAATATTTGTTTAAATGACTAGTTTTGAATAACTGCTGTAGTGATTGTACAGTTATAGTTTCCTTTTTCATTTGAATTTCTAACGCATAAACTGTTTTGTTTTTATTTGCCTCCATCGGTTACTTTTTAATGATAAAGGCCATTAAGACCTAGATAAGTCATTCAGACTCAGTCTAATTATATATATGTATACAAAAATGTATGCTGGATGTGGGTTCCTGATATTATTTGTTATGATATTCATAACGGCTAATATGAATCGCAGGATGTAAGATCTTCAATAGAGGATGACCTTACATGTTTTCAATCTGTTCTACATGTATATGTGCTTGTATATACATAGATTTATTTATAGGCTTACATGCCTTATGCAATCCAATTCATTCTTGCATTATGACATAAAAAGAAATGAATCACTCTATGTTTTGTATTATCGATCATCAAACTTTTTTTTTTGACGAACCTATATGAAGCTTCTGTCATAAACTAGAAAATGTATGTAAAACTTGAACCCATTAATGACCTGTGACCCTTAGAAGCATTAATGACCTGTGACCCTTTAATTTTGACCATTGACCATCTAAATGTGACAACTAAGGGATAGAACCTGAGTTATGGTGAAGATATGACATGTGACATAAATAGATTTGGGAATACTTAATGTGCAACCACTCCACTCTGCCATGACATCATTTCGTAACTGGTTCATATTAGATAATAGTTAATCAATATTTATCCAAAGTAATCTGTTCAGTTTTCAACTACCAGTATTACATACTGAATGAGACATATGACTTAGTTCTATATAGCAAGCTATCACAACTGAATGATTAGTGTTGTGCTCATATTTGTTGTGATCATCTCGTGATGAACATGTACAAAAATGTATTACGACAGGTGCATTGTGAGCCTGATGTGATGAATGACCCGTTGTCATATTGTTTAGGATGTATAGCCTGTCCTATGTGAACCCCTAGGATATTCTATCTTGTATCTTAACTGTTAAGGTTGAACAGGAGAAGATTGAGGTCACCTCCAAACATCTGTTGCTAACAAAGTCACACTACATCAATTATACATAGTAGACAGTATGTAGTTGTGACCATTTAATTGATATTTCTAGAATATATCCATGTACATGCTATTTATGCTAGGGATTGTCACCAAAGTGACAGTAGTAGATTGACTTGCATATCGTGTACATTTTTATTTTTATATGATGTTAAAATTGGGCTAAACATTCGTAACACTAAGTTGAATTTAAAAATAAAGAGAAAACACTAAATCTCATAAAGAATGAGAACTGTAGATGTAGTTATTGTAAAATGCATTATCTTGTGATAACCTAGTAGTTTGTAATGCTACTGTAATATCAGAACCAGCCTATTGTAGTAATGCATCTTATTAAAAATTTTATACTATACATATATATATACTTTCAAGGCAGATTGAAGAGGCATCATAGCTTGTCCGACTGAAGTAAATTGTGATGTCATATTATTCTAATTCATCACATTCTTGTCTAAATTAAATTAGAATCAACATAAAATTGGTGAAAGTTTGAAGGTGTCTACATCATGATATGACTGTCTTGCTATCGCCTTTATTGTTTGAAAATGACAAAAATCTTAAGCTGCAGGCTAATTTCTCTCTGCTGTATGTAGACAGTTTATTGTCAGGTTGGGAAATCACATGGAATGTCATCAAGACAGTCTCAGTTCTGCAAGATGGTATCTCATGATTGAGTATTCTCAAGCTTTTTCAGAGGTCTACAATTCACTTTCTGCACTCAGTTGACAATCTGTAATTATTGTACATATTTTGAAGTCCAGAAAACCAATTCCAAAATTGTAGTGAGTCCCAATACTAAGCGATATAATAGGATCTCAAAGTTTTAGTGACTCCCAGTGGAAAAACATGAGTCCATAACTCCAATGCCTGAGTCCCAAAACTCACTGACAGAAGTGCTATGGTGTTGATTCTCAGCATTAGAGTGTAATCATTTGTTCAGTCCATAATGCATTGATTTCAATTTCTGAATTGAAATTTATAAATCCAACATGTTTCTAACCTTACATTTTTCCCCCAAGATAAAGTGTTAGTGATGCATGCACAGGGCACACACAAAGGAACTGTTTGGACTTCATGGTGAAAAGAATTTTTTTCAGGGAGTTTACGTTGGAGGACAAATGTTGGAATCTGGATATTTTGCAAAAACATGAAGAGTTGATTTAAGGTTGAACTAGTGGAGGGTATGTCAGGTCTCATTATTTGGAGATATCAATACATTTGTATTAAGTGGCAGTATCAGACATTCCATTACAGTATGATCAAGTATATCTATTAGGAAAAAAAGAATACAAAAATAGTTATTTTCTCTACACACTTTTCTGTCTCTATAATAGACCTGTATTTGTATATGTATGTACCATATATGTGGTTGACCATTGCTAAGTTGAAAGATGCTCATTATATGTAACAGTACTGGCATGGCCTACTGAAGTATTGCATGTCAGCAATGCATTTTCCTCTCCCGTGAAGGCAAACCCTTTAAACAAAGACATTATTAAAATTGATAGCCACAACAATATTGGTATTAATGGCACTTGATTTGGAGAGTTGATACTGCATATGATGTAGGGTATGTGTAATGAAGACAATGCATCAACCAAACAATACATCACTGGCTTTCCCAGAAGATTGCATGTTCTTTATGTATTAGGGATATGGATGGTGGAATGAGGACTCTGTCTTTGTCATCCCCAAAATTGAATTATTCAACAAATCTTGTGATCATTGGAATTTTAATTTATATTTGTGTTTGGATAAATTGGTCTGAAAATTTGATAAACTTGAAGATTAACAATACAGTTGTTTTGAAACATTCCTGCATATGGGAGTTATCATGGTATCATATGGGAGTTATCATTGCATTGTATTGGAGTGATCATGGTATCATATGGGAGTTATCATGGTATCATATGGGAGTTATCATGGTATCATATTGGAGTTATCATGGCATTGTATTGGAGTTATCATGGTATCATATTGGAGTTATCATGGCATTATATTGGAGTTATCATGGTATCATATGGGAGTTATCGTGGTATTATATGGGAGTTATCATGGTATTATATTGGAGTTATCATGGTATCATATGGGAGTTATCGTGGTATTATATGGGAGTTATCATGGTATCATATGGGAGTTATGGTATCATATGGGAGTTATCATGGTATCATATGGGAGTTATGGTATCATATGGGAGTTATCATGGTATCATATGGGAGTTATCATGGTATCATATTGGAGTTATCATGGTATCATATGGGAGTTACCGTGGTATTATATTGGAGTTATCATGGTATCATATGGGACTTATTTTGGTATCATAACATTGATACACTATATATAGCCTACCAGTATATCAAATATGATATATTATCTATATCATTAATCCATAGCCCTTTCCCTATCCCCACCTCCCCCGCAAACAAAGTGAAGAGGAGGTGGTGGGGGTGGGGGTGGGGGATATGTTTTACTGGAATCAGCTTGTTGGTTGACTTGTCCATAAAAAAATTGTCCGAAAGTTGTGAACCAATATCAATGAATAGAAACTTCATGTGAAAGATTGGTACCATGTTGGCATGCAAGTTATTTTCAGCATTTTGGTTGCTATGGTAATCAGTTCACCATACACATTTTTTTGTGTAATGGCCCATAGCTCATCTTCCCATTTAATGAAACCAATGGTCAAATATTGAAACTTATCAGAGCCAATAATTTAACACAGAAGGTATTGCCGGAACTGTTGCTATGGAGACATAATGGAAACCTATGATCAATTGAAATTTAGATGTTATATAATTATACTGATAATTGATATATAAGGGCTTTAAAGAATGGTAGTTACACTGGTACTATCTTCCAAAACATT